TTAACCCCTGCCTTGTCACGGTGTGTGGCCCCAGGGCCAGGGATGGCAGAGCAGCCCTCCAGAGCCCCCTGCAGCCCCCACAGCCCCGTTCCTGGCAGGCACCATTCCAGCCAATGCCCAGACACATCAACACCTGATAAACACAGAAGTTACTTTCAAAGGGTGTTTACGTACAATGCGTCCCCGCAGCTTATGTCAGAAATGTGTTTCAGGCCTTGACCTGGACTCAGAGCTTGATTTTACTGATATGGGAAGTAAAATGTATTTAAAATAAAACACCTGCTCCAAAGCTGTGTCTGGGATGAACTTGAAGCAGATGCACAGAGCATTGCTGATTCCATCTGGGGTGCGATCCAGTGCCCCCCAAAAGACTCCTTTTGAGTTCAGTAGCTGAAGACCTTTTATCACGATATCTTCCATGGGAAATACAATTAACAGAGCTTTAGAGAGTGATACATCACTTTCCTTTTCATCACAAAGCCCCTTCCTTCTCCACCCACACCCTGATGATCTCAGCTGACATACACACACTGGTGTAAAAGCAGGATGAGAGAAAAGCTGTAGGGAGTGTGCAGCAAGTGTCCCAGCGGCACAGGGTCCAACTCGCTGGCAGCAGAGACACCAGTGTAATTATACACACTCCAGTCCAATCTCCCAGTAATTATTCTGGAATAAAAGCCTGCCTATTTCTGTAAGACCTTATGTCACTTGGAAAGCTGTTATAAATTTAGCTGGAAAAAGAGACCCTTATTCTGGGATAAGTGTGGTTAGTGGTTAACTGGGAACTGGGCTATTCCTGGCGCTGCCATTGACCTTCCCGATGATGCCGGGTAAGTCACCTCACCTCAGCGTGTGTCACCTTCTCCTGCTGCAAACTGGGAATTACAAACAAGGGCTTTCGCACGCAGCGTTTTAGGAAACTCCATGACACTGGAAAAAAGGTGTCACAGGGTGCCAGGCACTCATTTAGTGTTACTTGGTGCTTTTCTACCCACCTTGGAGGCATCTTGATCAAACCATAGGGGAAATGAGGGACGTAGTGTTGGGGACTGGCTGGGTCGCACGAGCCCGGGCTGTTGGCACGTCACTGGGAATACTGTGCTTTCCTCTCTGTTTTTAAAAATAGTCTATTCTGTTCCAAGTTGTAGGCTACAGCCCTCACTGGGGCATTGAAATGTCTGGGCTGCTGTTTCTTGGACCCGGCACCTTCCAGCGTGCAGGGTGGGACACGGTGCCAGCATCCAACCACCCCGCTGCAGCAGAGAGAGGGGTCCTGCCCCAGATGGGCAGTGTTGTCCCTCTAGTCCTTGTGGACTAGAGGGAAAGGGAAATCTCCCAGTTCACTCTTCTGCCTATAATATCCCTGCCTGATTCAGTCGCTGCTTCTGCAGACCCTAAGGGTCCTGGGGAGTTTTGCTTCTCAGCAGCTTCTCCTGCAGCCTCAGAAACACCTTTTGGCTCAGCATCACACAAGCACGTGCAGTCCGAGCTGGAGATGCAGCTCGTTCCTAGCACATGGCATTGAATTCATGCTAGAGATAGGGAGATTTGTTTCGGAGGGTTTTTTCAGTTGCACAGACAGTGCAGGCTGGCTCACAGCCAGAATTTGTCCGTTTGCCAAAGCGGGTGCTGCCCACGGAGCAGCTGGACCAACGTGCTGATGCCGAGAGGTGAAGGCAGAGCCTGCCCTGGCACATTCCCACAACCTCCATCCCTGCACAAGCACTGGAGTGGGGTTCAGTGCTGCTCAGAATTGGGCTCAAGCCAAGGAGGCAGAGGGGGAAAGCCTTTTACAGTCCATTAGTGCTCCCCAGAGCCATTCAGCCTTCTTGTCGTAAAAGTGGTGGAAGCCACAGAAACATTGTGGCTGGTCTGCAGAAGAAGCTGGTCTGCAGGAGATGCCAGCCTGCCTCCTGGCTCCATGTACCTTCCCAGGAGCTTTGTCAGAGCCACTGGCTCTCCCATCAGCTCTGGCTGCTGGAATTCCCTCAGGGAAAAAGCTGATGAGGGCTGGTCCCCTGTCCATCCCAAGGTTCCCCAGCAAAATGTACATGGGAGGGTTCCAAGTGCAAATGTGTGTGTGCTAATGGGAACTGAATTGCCTCTTGCCCCGAAGCCTTGCAGCTTGAGGAAAACAAGACAGGGGCTAGGAATGACCTCATATCGCCTCCCAGGGAATGTTTTGCCAGATGAAGGGGGGAGAGGCAGCATCAAGAGAGCACAATGTATGTATCTCTCTCCCTGTGTAAACATCTCTGTAGCTGCAGAAACCTCTTAAAACCCTGAATGAGAGGAGAACAGCTGCTTTGATCTGTGGATGTGGTTGTTGTTTTCTGAGTGCAGATCCGTTCTTTTTTTAATTTTGCTTCAAATTAAAAAAATGCCTGTTGTGATCTTTTGCTTTTATTTCTTGGCGAGGGACTGGAGTGTGGTGCAGTAAATTTTCATGACTCCCCATGTAACCGTTTCAGCATGGTTGACAATTCCTTGCTGGCTCTTCAGCGCCGCAGCACAATGGGCCGAATCTTCTGGCCCTACATGAAGCCAAAGCAAATGGATTTTGCCCAGAAGTGCACAACGGGGAGTGGAGGCAGCGGGGAGGAGAGTCCTGCCACCTCCTTCCCTGCCACACATGCACACACACACACTCACAAGGCTCAGGCTGGCAGGGTTGTCCCAGGGCCTGTGAAGGCCTTCAGAGAGGGCTCCCTGGAACAGATCCGTGCCAGCTCCGCGTGGCAGCAGCAGGAGCTGGTGAGGAGCCATCAGGACCGAAGCGCTGGGCTGTCCTGCAGGTGATTCAGGTGTGACCCATGGCCTTCCATCCAGACTCCGTGTGTGATCTCAGGAGTCTCCATCTGCCTGACTTTCCCCATCTGTGCATGGGGCAGGGGGACAGCCCTGTTCTTGGAGGGGCACCGCAACGTGCACAGCAGCTCACCCCAACCCTGCTACTTTGCTGGGGTGCTTTGCAAGCCCGTTGGAGGAACGAGATGTCTCAGCCCCTTGGCTCACGTGGCATGAGCAAAGGTTCTGCTGGCCAAGGATCTGCCTTCAAGGGCACGACCCACTTCCCCCAGTGCAAGGCACTGGTTTAACTGGGAGCACTTGGCTGGAGACCAGTCTCCACTGAGGCAGCCTGGGCACAAGTGAGGAGGTTTGCTCATCCCCCCATGCTGTCACGTGGCTGCCTGGTGTTTTGGTGTTTTAATTACACAGTCTTGTGTATTTAAGGCTGGTTTATGGGTGTTTATACTAATGCGTAAACCTGCAATTTAGAAGCTCAATTATAAATCAACATTGCTGAAGGTCTTGTTCCTCCTACCGAGAGATTGGTCTCCAGATTTAGAGGACAGGTTAGAGGGGAAAAAAAGGAGGACTGTTTAGTTTTCCTCTGGTTATGATGATAAAGATCACAGGATGGGGTGCGAGGTGCGGTGGCAGGCACAGGGTCTGCCGGCGTAACCCAGCGCAGAGTTTCCATTTTGACTCTGCTCTTGCAACAGCCATAAGAGACTCCTGTTTATGCAGCAAATCCCAGCCTGGAAAGAAAAGCAGAGTGATGCTCGTGGGAGGGTGGTGGCACCCCACTAAGGATGGTCTCAGCTCGTGCCAGGATGTGGGATGCAAGGACCAGGGCTCCTTCCTGCTCGGCACAGTACGAGAGGAGCCTTCATCCCCAGGAGCTCCTGGCACAGACTGGAGCTGGCTTCCTCCAGTGGCAGTGCCAAGTGGGATAGCACATTCCCACTGGTCATGGTCCTCTCCCAGTACATCCTAAGGACAACACCTCTGCATTCGTACTTTTATGTGTAAAACTCTTTTGCAACTTTACTAATCACTTTCATGCCTTTGCCCTTTCCCAGCTGCCCTGGAGCCTGCTGTGCCAGGGATGGGTTTGCATTACTGGTGTGGCTCAGGGGAGCTGACCTGCTCCTGCAAACCCCCTCTCAAAGGGAAGGTCCCCATCCAATGAGGGCAGCCCAAGGAGGGATGTTTTTCTAGGGAAAGAATGACTAGACCCAGGGACTCCTCAGCATCCTCCTATCCAGCTGCAGATCCTCCTCTGTGCAGCAGGAGCCTTGGCCAGGTTGGATATTTTCCATTGCCTACAGCCCCCTTTGTCGTATCTTTAGGTGTTATTAGGACAAAAGGGGGTATAGGAGGGTGCAGGGGCAGCATGGTGGGCTGGGAGGAGCCCATGGGCAGGATGACCCTGTGGGCATGGTGGCTGCTGCAGCTGTGGGACCCTGTATCCCTAGACAGGTGGAATCACTGCACATCTTCCTCCTGGTCCCGCTCCTGGCTCCCAGCCTTATCTCCTGCTGCAGTTTCCTGGCTGGCCATGCCTTTCCTGGCTTGGGGAGCAGGAACACCCCGGAAGAGAGATGGTGCCAGCAGCTCCCAGCACAGGGATGGTCATGGAGTGGGGCAGAGGTGCCCCTGCATGCCTGGGGGACCCCCAGCTGCAGAAGGCCAGGCTATGAGAAGCTCCCACAAGCAAACAAAACCCCCTGAATATTTCAGAATGGTCTTTTTCTTCTCCCTCCACCCTTATTTTCAGTCCCTCCTCCCACCTTTCCCTGCGTCCAGCAGAGCTACTCTCTGGCCCTGCTTTCCCCTGGCCCACAACTCTGAGATGCTCCCGCAGCTGCCAAGCCCAGCCGGGTTGTGCCATCTGCAAGCTCTTGGGTTTTTTTCTGATATATCTATTTTTCTTTCCCCTTTTCTTTTCCACCCCTTGCCTTTTCTCATTCCATAAGCCTCCCCCGGCACCCCTCCCCTTGCCACCACCTCAAGCCCTGGGCTGGCCAAGGGGCTGCGAGGTGCCGGGTGGGTCTGGGGGTTGCGGGGGGGCTTTGCATTGATGCATTGATCGCCCATGGTCTCTGCCTGACCTCCCTGCTCCCAGGGAAGCAGTCTCCATGGCTACTGGCCCTTCTCCTTCAGCGCAGACTGTAAATTCCTGCAGGCAAAGCCCAGCCTTGGGGGTGCGAGGGGGGGAGCCGGGAAGGAGTAACCAAAGCCAAATAGAAAGAAAGAAAGAAAGAAAGGCTGGGAGAGAGAAAAAGGGCGTTGCTTGGATGGGGCTCTCCTTTCCACTCCCCTTTCCCAGGTCCCCAGCACCAGGGCAAGGCGCCTGCTTCCCCCCTTCAGTGCTGCTGCTGCTGCTGCTGCTGCTGCTCTTGCAAAACTGGAATTGGCTGGGATTATTTAAGGAAAAAAAAAAGGAGAAGGGATCAGAGCAGCTGCCAGAGAGAGGGCGATAGAGTCCACTTTCCTCCAACTGCCCTGGGTCTCCCTCCCTCGCTCTCTTCTCTTCAGCAACACCAAGAGCCCCAAACTGAACCCAAAGCAGCTTTTTCCATCAGTTCAGTTCCCTTCCCTTCCTCTGTCTCACACACGGCAAGGAGAGACCCCCTTCCTCCCCTTGATTTTCCTTCGCATGCTCAGCCCCTTGTTTCCTTTAAAGCACTAGAAATCCCCCTTCTTGCCCCCGCTCCTCCCTGCAGACTGGGATTGCAATGGGAGCTTTGCAGATTGCTGGATTTTCCATCCTTTTCTTTCTCCTCCACTCTGGAAACACTCTGGCAAATAAAGCCAGTCAAGGTAAGAGAAAATCTTCCCTGCTTGAAGGTTTGCTGTTTGATGTGTGGATTGGGCAGCCGGATCTCCTCCTTAGAGCTGGGGTTTAAGTGCAGGCTGGAGAAGGCAGCAGCAGTAACAACAAACAGTGGAGGGGATTTTAAATGTCGCTTGCAGATATTCTCTCCTACTGCCTTGGACTGGGGTTGGGTTTGTAAACTCTTTAATGAGTTGCATTTCTTAGACTTTAGTTTTTTTTGTTTGGACTCTTTATCTCGAGGCAGGGAGTGCAGAGGCAGAAAATTAGGGTGGGCAAACAAGTCTACACCCATCACAGGGAAAATATGGCTGTTTGGAGGGGCTTAGGGGGGCTCTGCTGGTTTCGGTGTCTGTGAGATGGGGCTGAGCAGGGCGGTGCAGGCAGGGAGGCTGCCCCGGGCTGGGCTGGAGGGCAGGGATGGCGGAGCGGGCGTCGATAACGCCGGGAGGCTGCATCTGTGCTCAGGGGCTTTACATCGGCGTGGGGGAATCTCAGATGTTGGCTCCAGGGGTGTGGGCAGCAGAAAACTTCGGGTAGCTGAGCACAACAAAACCTGAAAAATAAGGGAGCTCTTTCCCTATCTCTTGGGAAGAGAGGTACATCCCATCCTTATCAACTTCTGGCTTTTCTGTTTCACCACTCCCGTGTTGAACCAGAGCCTCCCCTTCACAGACGCACACACAGAGCTTTATGTATGGTCTGTCTATACCTTCGCTTTTCTATAGCACCTCTATATTTAGCTCGGATTTTTTCTGTGCACACGCGCGGGAGTGCGCGCGCACACGGGCACACACAGCCCCATACATGATGGTGTTGGCTGTCTCAAAGGGGGTTTTCTCCTTAATTCGCCACTATCTGTACCATCTGTTGGGTTTTCTCTTTTCTCTCCGTAGCACTTCCAGTATGTAAGGTTTCTGCAGCCCAGCTCTGGCTGTGCTGTTGTGGCAGCTGCGTGTTTGTGCGTACGGCAAGGTTAAATAGCGTGTGAATGAAATCTCAGAGCGCACAATATAATGAAAGATCTCTTATAGGCGGATTCCAGCCATGCGCAGGGTCACCCGAGCCCTGTCACCGACAAAGTTAGAAGGAATTTCAAGGCTATTGTCTTATCTGGCTCAAAGTGTTTCTAAAACAATAGGCGACTTTTCGGGAGGGCAGCCTGGGCAAGCAGGAGAGATTTTCCAGGGCAAAGGTTTGGTAAGAAGACATCCAGCTTCACGTGAAACTTTATGATTTAGGCACAGAAAGGAATGCTTAGGTTTTTATCCCCCCTCAAATTATCTTGAGTGTATGCATTGCTTTCATTTCTTATCATAATATTTATTTATTAAGGCCTTTTGGTTTCCAGTTCCATTTAAGCCTGAGCCAGAATTGCATTAAAATAGCAAAGTGAAATTCCATCGTGCAGAGACTTGACAGATCCCTTCAGGGAAGGAGAGGGGTGGAGTGGGGGTGGAGAGAGGTGAGCTCAATCCTGCGCTGGGGTGCATGCTCATGTGTGCCTGGGACGGTGCTGTCTCCTCCTGGTCCTGCACAGGCACCGAGCCACCCCTGGGTGTCCGGCCACTTTGCAGCCAGGGGAGTTGTGGTGGGGAATTAATCCCCAAGGCTGCTTCTGAAGGATTCTGTGGGCTGGGGAGGGGGAAGCAGCTGCAGAGGGGCGAAGGTTGCTGCCCGCGGGCATGCAAGGACTCTGGGCAGGGCTGGACCCGATCCTGATCCTTTTTGGATGAGACTGAACTCATGGGCATCATTAGGGCATCACTGGTGACAGGTACAACCTGTGCCTTTCCTCGGAACTTGCTGTTGCCTGGTTTCCTGCCAGCATCACTGAGCTCCTCAAGGCTGCCCTGTGTGTCTGGGACATTGTCTCAGCAGAATATTTCTGAAAAGCATCAGCACCCCCCCGTATGTGCTGGGTGATGCCCCAAGGATGGGGACACATCACCCCGAAGCCTTTCCCCTTTTGGGGACAGCCACTCTCACCAGGTGACTGTCACAGGCTGGGAAGGGCTCCTCTCCCGTTGAATCAACTTGTCTTCCTGGGATGACGTTGTGCCATGGGTCAGGCTTGCTGGCTCATTTCTTGCACTGAATTACCCCAGAAAGTTTAGTCTGTGGGGAAGGAAGGATTTAGAGAACCGGCTGCTGGGCCTGGAGGGTGTCTGCCAGCAGACCTGTCTGGCTGCAGGGTCAGCTTAGGGCTAGGAAAGCTTTCAAGAGGAGTACTGGCAATATAAATCTAAGTAACCACAGGGAGGCTCCTGACATGCATTCACGGCTGGGATGGACTCTCTCTTGGTCCCCCAGTCCAAGCTGCCCAAACACTGCCATGCCCACTGCTCCCCTGGGTTTTGGACAGATAATGTCACCCCCAGTGTCTCAACCTCTTGTCTGTCAGTCCATCTCACAGCCTGCCAGGCAGAGGAGCTTGTCCTGAGCTCCTCTCTCAGCAGAGCAGTGTGCTTGCCCACTGCCTGCCAGCATCTGTCCCTCCCTGTGCCCTGGGACGGCCGAGCCCAGGGACTTGCAGCTCTGCAGCCTCCTCTTGTACCAGGCAGCACTGGCCCCTCTGGCAGCACCCCCATCACTGGGGACATGCACCAGGATTTGCCACTTCTCCCTGCAACTAATTGCACATGCCCTCAGATGATGCCAGGGCATGGGGCTGAGAGGGAGATGCAGCATTTCCCTGGGGGACCTCAGCACTCCAGTTTGCAGCCTCTGGCACTCCCACAGTCCCAGTGCAGGGTTCTGTGTGGGACTGGGGCCCCAGCCCAGCCTGCTGGTCACTCAGTGGTCACCTGTGGGTAATGCCAGCCCTTCTGGTGCTGGTGGATGGAGCCACCCTCCCATGTGAGGGGCTAGTGTCAGTGGGATGCACCTGCAGAGCCTACGCCACCAGGGATTATTTTTTAAATATTTTTTTAAGGAGTCTAAAATTTTCCAATTGCAGTGTGGAGATGGTGTTTGATTCTCCTCCCATTGCCGCCAAACCTCCTCCCCCTTGGCCTCTGCCTTCCTCCCTCTCAGGCATTCACAGTGTGTGACTGTTGTGCCTGTCCCCTCCACCCCGCTGAAATATGAAATGTAAAACTGTAAACATTTCACATACACAGTTCAAAGGAGATCTTTGACTGAGGGCGTCTAACGTGCCTGTACTGAGATTAAAAAGGGGAGGGGGTGGGTAGGAAGGAGGGAAGAAGAGTTTTTTTATAACTGCCAACTGGAGTATAAATATTCAGACACCTTGAGTCTTCCAGTGTCGATGTATTGCTGTCTCCAAACTGCTAGGGTCTTTTTCCTTTTATTTTTATAGAGATTTTTCCTTTGCAGACAGTCACACTAGAGTAATCCATTTAGGAAAAAAACATGCATGAATGACCTTAACCTTCACTTCCAAAATTATAAGTCCCCTGAGAAGCTTTAGGAGAAGCCTGGGATGGCAAATAAGGTTTGCTCTGTCTGGTGGTGCTGGAGGATGTCCGGCCACGTTCCGGGGAGGCCATCTCCCTGCTGGAGATCTTGCAGTTGCTACTTCCAGAGCAAAAACCAAACAAACACATTTTTTAAGGCAAGGCTTGATCAGTCTGATAAGCCAAAGAAACAACAACAGCAATGACAATTCCCCAGGGAGGTGAACATGCTGCTGGTGGGAAGCATCAAACCCTTCATGGGGAAATGGTGACAGAATTGGGCTGAAGCGACCAGGGTTAGCACAAGGAGGTGGGATGGAGATGTAGGGAGCATTTCCAACCCAGAGGGTGGTGATAAAACTCCAATCCATCAGGACGACCTAAACTAGTGCAGGGAATGGGGATCTCAATCCATCTCTGCCCTCGTGGGAGTGGGAAGCATCAATGAGAGGGGAAAAAAGCCCCTTTTGGGTCACTGCCATTTTTGGGGAAGCTAAACCCACTGCAAGGGGTACAGAGCAGGGTCTGGGCATGGGACATTGGGGTGATTAGGCTGGGAACCCCCCAGCTCCTCACTGTGACTTGTGGTTCCTTGTCCTTCGTCCGTGCTCCATCATTCCACAGGGCCAAGAGCTGAGACTGCATCTCCTGTGTCTCACATGCTTTCAGGAGAGCTGGGTGGGTGCATGGGGCACCGGGCTGGTGCGAGGGTCTCTGTCACATGGTGAGATGCAGATCCCCTCTGACGTGACCTGAGCGCAGGTACCTGCCCAGAGACTGCTGGCACAGCAGGACATCACCCACCACCCGAGTCAGGATCTCTGAGTTCAGATAACACATCTTTGGCCAATTTACAAAAAGCTGCCCCGCGGGGCATCCTCCTCCCCTCTCCCAGCCCCTCTTCCCTCCCAGGGGGCTGTCTCTGCCTGTGGCTGTGCCCCACTCCCATCCTGCCATGGCACAGTACGAGTCACCCTCATGAGCTCCCCGGATGAACAAATGATTAATAAACTGCACCACAGTGTCTGAGGTGGTTATTAATACCCTGGTAAAAAGAGCTACTGAAGTTATAAAGCTTTAATTTGGCATTAAGGCCGAGTGGAAACTCCGCATGTCTGCCAACAGCTACACACACATCCCCATACAGACAGGCTGTTAATATATATGCCCATATGAAAACAAAGAATAAAATTAATCTGAAGAAAAAGCTGAAGCGTTTGCAGAAGAGGGAAAAAGGATGGTGGGTTTGTTTGTTTAGGGATTTTCAGGTGGGTTTTTGCTGCCTTGTTTTGCCTCTCTCCTCAAATTTATTGGGACTTTCAGCCTATGGATAAAACCATCTTTTATTATTTTTTTAAAACAAAATAAGGAACTGAGGAAAGAGGCTCAATCCAGGCTCTAAAAATATACAAGCTGTTGCTTTATCCCCCTACTTGCTGTGTCGGGGTGTCATTGGCAGCGTGATGCAGGGTGCAGCCATGGGACCCGGGTGCCCCTGGGCTCTGCCAGCGTCTCCCTCGCTGGCCTCAGCCAGAGCCCTCCGGGTGCCTGGTGAGCGCCGGTCCCGGGGACGTGGCGGTCCCCCTGCTTTTGGCACACTTGAAATGGCAGTGGCATTGAAACCGTCTGCCTCCGCTGCCTTTGAAATGGAGAATAAAGCTGCAGCTGGAGCGGAACGGGGCCCAACAGCCAGAGCTGGAAAATCCCACCCACAACGGAATAAAAAACAGGGCCCAAGGCGCAGGGCGAGCACCACAACCTCCTGCCCTTCACTGCAGCCCCTGGCCATGGCCGTGCCAGGGATGCTCTTGCCCTCTGAGGAGCCCTAATTACCCCAGCACAGTGGGATGGGGAGGTGGGGCCTGCAGTCCCCAGAGAAACTCAATGTCTTCACCTAAACCAAATTCCCCGCCAGGTGCAAAACTCCCCGGTGCTGGGGATTTGAGGTGGGATGTGCCCATCTGTGCTGCCCTGTTTGAGCTCATTTCAGGCAGCTTGGGGTGAAAAACAGAGGTTTTGATTATTTCTGCAGAGAAGGAATAGAGGGGCTGTAGGGATGCAAGTCTGCTGGGGGCCTGGCAAACCCTCCAAAAATCCCACCTGAATTTGGGAGCTGGGCTGAAGCAGGCACCGTGGAGTAGGGGGACAAGCAGGACATACCCCCAGTGAGGACTTTGTAGAGGCAAATAGGGACAGGAACATCAAGAGGGACTTTTTGTTAAAAAAAATCTTCACTTGGTTTGAATATGAAACCCTTCATGTGGCAGCAGCAGCTCAGAGCACCTGCAATGAGGCCACAAGCAACTTTTTGGATGCAGAAAATTCTCCTACAGGAAAAACAGGCTGTCCTGACAGCAAACCTTCCCTTTCATGGGAAAATGTTACTTGCATTGACAAAAGTGCTAAAAAATTAGTTTTTCAGAGGGTTTTATTTTAATTCACTACATCGTTTCTGAAGGATACTTAGGAGCCAAAACTTCAGCATTCTAAAATTGGGATCTTCGCCAATCTTGGGATGGCTCCTGGGGTGCTGAGGAGGGTATTTATTCACTCTTCCCACACACACACTTTTTTTTTCCTTTTTTTTTTATAATCCTGTAACCTTTCAGAATGTCTCCAACTTTGGAAAAATGACAGAGTGGAAAATTGATAATGTTTTCTTTTGTACTTTTGCTGCTGTGTAATCTTTCCAAAGTTAGAGAAGTTTTGAAGTTACAGAATGGGGGGGGGAAAGATAGAAAAAAAAGGTACTATACATGTGCAAGTGGGAAAGGCCTGGCAGTGTGTTCATGGTATTGAGTTTGGGGGTGCAGGAGGAAAAAGAAATAGGAAATAAAACCCCCAGAAAAGTGAGATTCCTGGCAAAAGGCCGGGAAAGTTTTAAATGATGTGATGTCTGGTGGATGCCTCATGTTTTGGGTGTTTTTAGGGGAAGGAGATGGGGTCGATGGTTGGTCTGCACTGTTTGGGTGTTGGTTCCCACCCATATGCCAGGGTGGGTGCCTGGGTGCCGCATCCAGCACCTTGGGACCATGGCTGGAAACATCATGATGTGATTTATAACTCTGGGGGAAGACCTGAAGGGGGGTTCCTGACCACACGGGACCACGACTGGGATCTGCAGGTTCAGTAGATCTCTGGGTCAACATTGGCTTTGTTGCTGTTGAGTCCCTGCACACATCTTGGCCAGCACTTGATGTCCCCTCGTGTCCCCCTGCTCCAGCACCACAACCTCCCACCATCCTCCCATGCTCCTATCACTGGGTTCCAGTGAGGATGCTGGAGCCGGAGGTGAAGTCCCTGCCAGTGCTGAACAGCCACGCTCAGCTCCCAGAAGGGACAAGAGCCCACGGGAGCCCTGGCTCAGGGAGGGCTGCGAGCTGCTCCCCGGCAATGCTGCGGGGTGCTGGGGTGGCCACAGCACGGTGGCACCGTGGCCAGTGCCGTGGCTGACAGAGGTGACAGTGCCAGCCGGGTTCCTGGCGCCGGTCCCCGTGCAATCCCTCCATCGTCCGCACCGTGGTGGGTCAGCCTCCAGTCGGTGATTAATGGCCCAAGGGAGGCTGTGGTGGCCGCGGGCCATGGCTAATGTCAAATAACAAATATGAATGCGGGCTGTAAATATTTATACAATGCGCAGGCACGTGCCGCCTCCCTGGTGCAGAGACAAAGCTCTCCTACTCCCGGCCGGGTGACTCACATCTCCCGGCAAAGAACCGCCGGGGTGGCCGGGCCAGGGCTCTGGCTGGCGTTCCCGCGGCCGTGGCCCCTGTCCTGCAGGGCTGCTGGCCCGCCCGCCGCTTGCAGGGATGTTTTGTGTCTTGGGGGAGCTCCTGGAGCTCCTCTTAGGGCTGTGAAAAGCATTTTTTTAAAGACAACTGAGAGCTTTGCAGCCTCACGCTCCTCCTGATGGGGGACCTGAGAGTCCCTGATGAGACACTCCCCATCCCTGGGAGAGGAGCTGGAGGCAAACCCTCGGGAGCAGCGCTGGTGCTCCCCGTATGCCAGTGGGGTTGGAGCAGGGAGCCTGGGGTGCTCTGGGAGCCCTGCCCATACCTGATGGGCTGAGGGTGATGCTTAGTCCCCTCTTGCCCCCCAGCAGCCTGACCCCCTCCAGGCATTGGCAGTCAGGGCTCCATGTCTCCCTTGCTGCCTCACCTGAGCAGCCTCTTTCTCACAAACCTCTACCCCATGCGCCTGAGGCTTTTCCGTTTCCCAAATGCCTTTAAAACCTCCATCCCTGTGGCCTCCTGACAGAGCAAACCCTTGGACATGGCTGCTTGAGGCCATTGCCAGCATGTGGAGCTCTGGCCATGATGTCCCAGGTACCACAGCGCTGCATCCCAGAGAAGAGGGTTGAGGGGCAAAGGGGGATGGAGGAGATGCAGATTTTTTCTGTGTCCCCAAAGAAGCTTTGATGTTTTCCCCAGTTCTCCCTCCTGTTTCTTGCTCCCCGAGGGTAGAGGTCCCTGACTCTCCCCATCACTCCTCCTACCTGTCCTCTTGCAGATGTCGATGAGTGCGTGGAGGGCACCGACAACTGCCACATTGATGCCATCTGCCAGAACACTCCCAAGTCCTACAAATGCATCTGCAAGTCCGGCTACACCGGCGACGGGAAGCACTGCAAAGGTAGGGACGTGCCATTGCCGCTGGAGCCAGAGCCAGAGCTCTGCTGAGCAGTGACAGCCCTGGCAGGTCGGAGGCTCATCAGCACCGACTGTCCTTGCTGGTGGTGGTGACAGCCATTGTGTTTGCATGGCTCGGGCTTCCTAGTCACAGGAGGGTCACCTGGGGCTTGTTTTAAACAAAGCTAGGCTTATTTTCGAGCAGGACTTTCAATTCTGAGGCTGCAGAACTGTGATAGCAGTTAAAACATGACAAACTTCAAAATAAGATATAGAAATACAGATATAGATGGTAGATATAAATACAGGTATAGATGTAGATATAGATGTAAATATAGATATTGGTATAGATATAGGTATAGATCTATATATAAATGCAGTTCAGTGGGAAATGGAAAGAAAATGGGCTTCTTGGAGGAGCAGCAGCAGGAAAGCAGGAATGGCGCAGGGGGAAAAATTCCCGGCTTTGCTAGAAGCAGGTCCAGGGTCAGGACGGGCCAAGTACAAATAGCAGAGGGATTAAAGCACTCCAGGAACTGCTGGGCTTTGCCATGGAGGTGGGCTGTGCTGCCTCCACCCTGGGAAATCCCATGTGGTTCCCAGTGCGCTGCACTGCGCCAAGGCTGTAAGACTGTGTTAGCTGGGGGTCCAGGGTCTAGGCTGGGGAGAACGGGGATGTTTTTGCATGGTCTGGAGGAGTTCTGCAAGTGATAACAGAGCTGGGGACCTGCTGGAATAGGCAGAGAGAGCAGAAGACCCCAAGGTGCAATATCAGCCAGGGTGCAAACACGCTGGAGGTGGGGAGCAGTACCCATGGGTCGGGTTAGCCACCAGCCCCTGGGGCGGCCCTGCAGCTCTCCTGCCCTCCTTCTCCGCAGACGTCGATGAATGCGAGCGGGAAGACAACGCGGGCTGCGTCCACGAGTGCGTGAACATCCCCGGCAACTACCGCTGCACCTGCTACGACGGCTTCCGCCTGGCGCACGATGGCCACAACTGCTTAGGTGAAGGATGGCAGCTTGTCCCAGCCCCTTGGCAGCTTTGGCAGCTTGGGACCAGCCTGCTGGCTTTCTCTACCAGGCACCTCCTGAGCCCTGACACCCCTAGGGCTGTTGCAGAGCCAGGGAAGCGTGGTGGCACTCCCAGGGCAGTAAGCTAGCTGCAGATGTGTCCTGTACTGCAAGGGCTCACTGGGGACAGGATTGCTCCCCGTTACACAGGGATGATGCCAAAGGAGGACGCTCCATAGACTGGGAGGGTTGGGGTAAGGCAAGACTGTGAGGCTTTGGTTTGGGGATGCTGGGTGCGAGCCATGGCCTCCCCACAGCCTCATCCTGCTGTGGTGAGTGGCCAGGCTGCAGTTCTGCTCCGCTGCCAAAGGCAGGACCAGCCAGCAGAGCTCATCCGGGCCCTGCCACTCGCTCTGCTCTTGCTTGAGGTCAGCCCTGCACCTGCCAAAACAGATGAGTTAATAGCAAACATGGTGGAGATGGGAACCAGCAAAGGGACTGGGTAAATAATACCCGGGCCAAGACAAACCCGGCATCTGCCTACAGAGCAGCCGTGCATCCTCCCTGCCACTTCCCACCGTCCCAAACTCCATCCGGCCGCGGCGGAGCCAAAGCTCCCGTCAGAGCCCTGAAGTCCGTTGTGCTGCCCGCGCCCGTCACCCGCTTCCTCCCGCAGCATCCACGGCGGGATCGCCGGGGCACGGGGCCGCCCACCTTCCCTCCGCCTGGACCTCTTACTATTTTCTAATTAATGTCTGCTCAGGGGTCATTAATGAGCTCATCACTTGAAGAAGGAGGAGGGGGAAGGGATTATGGACACATACTTTTTGCATTAACCACCATCACCGGGATCTTTGCAGCCTCCTCGGGGAGGAGGGAGATTTACACAGCTGGGAGGAGGCGCGGGCGGGCAGCCCTGCCTTCCTCTCCCGGGGGAGGATGAGCCCGAGGAGAAGAAAGGAAAGCCGGACTCGGAGAGCCACAGACGTCATGTGTTTACAGAGTTGGGTGGGAGGGGATGGAGATGGCTGGGGAGCAGCCAGGGAAGCAGGAATTGGGGGTGGGGGGCAGCCTGGCTCCCACCTTGAGCCTTTCCTCAGCTCATCCCAGCATCTAATCCCTGATCCTGATGTGCTTTGCCCAACCTGCCTGCATCCTCTCTTAGCCAAAAGAAAGAGAAGCAGAGCAAAGCACAGCATTGTGCCCAGGCTTTGCTGGTGCCATGGGCAGGGGCTGAGCTGGAGAGGGGTCAGGGTGCATGCCCACAGGATCCCACCAGCCCCTCCATTTCCCACCCTGGGCGACCTTTTGAACCAGCACAGGAATTCGAGCTACTGTCCTGACACGGGCCCTTCTGGCTTCTGCCCATCTCCATTGCATTTAATAAAACAGGTATTAGAGCAGTGGAGTCTCATTTCAGCCATTTGGTTTGAATGGCTGCCTCCTCATTTTTGAGCGTAGCTGGAAGGAGAAGTTGTGAGACCTTAAGCCTTTGTTCTAAGCGAGGGGATTTGAGGAGAGTTATTGGCATCTGCAGGACATAGTTTGGCTGGGATGAGCCTGGAGGAAGCTGCAAGCCTCCTGCCATTGCAGAGGATGTCCCTTTGTGCCTGGCTGCAACACCTCCTTTCCAAGGCAGTGGTTTTGTGGGTTGCTTCTGGGTTCTGCTCCCTGGCAGTTTCCAGCAGCAGCTCTGCTTCTATTTCTGAGCATTCCCCCAGGGCTTGCCTGGGGCTGGGGCATAGTGTAGGGCACCCACACCCCTCAGGCATCCATCTGTCCATCCATCTCTTTGCCCAAAAGCAAGAGGTTTTGATGTGTGCCGTGCTGCCTGGGGAGGGGGCCTGTGCTGGGGGGCTGGGAGCCCCCCGTGTGTGTCGTCACTGAGCCGCTGTTCCGGCATTTCCGGTGGGCTCAGCTTTCCCCTCAGCCACGGCTCTGCAATGCTCAGAGTTCACAGGACGTTTTCTTTGGCACGGGGCCCCTCACAGAGGGGGCAAGGGGTGGCCACGGCAGAAGTTTGTCTCTGCCTGAACCCGGCGTCTGGTTGCTCTGGCACCTCAGGGCACTGGTGAGTTCAGCTCAGACCACTGTCCCCAAAAACCCTCTGGGGAGAGCAACAGGCCATTGCTCTTCATTAAATGTGGGGTTTGCAAGGCTGGAGCAGGAGTAGCCCAGGGTGAAGGCATTGCTGCCGCCACGGGGCCACATCTCCAGCCCCTTGCAGCCTTGGTTTGTTAAACCAAAACAGGTGTTAGGGCAGCCAAGCGGCTGGGGATGCGAGTCTCCTTACAAGTAATTATCCCTGCTCTGGGCTAAGGTTTCCCAGCTCTCCCTAATGAAGTGCAGGCATCCCCAGCTGGCGACAGGCTCTGAGGGGCTGGGAGCGGGGGCAACCAGCATCCCAGATAAACATCCGTGGTTATCTGGGATGTCCCATCCATGGTTATTTGGGGGTCCCGGGACAAGGAAAAAAACCTTTGTCTGTATTCCCTTCTGTAAAACAAGGCCGGATACTTCATGCCCATCAGCTAGGGAAGCTGTATGGTCCCTGCACCCACCCCTTGCTGCGCTTTGCCTTTGTCCCCTGCAGCCCTCAAGCATCCTCCTTTCTTGTAGCTGGGGGGTCACAGATGTAAACCAAAAGTAGTTTACTACCCAGCAGATCTGTCCCACCTTGTCCCCATTGCCTGAGTGTGCCACGGAGCTGTGCTCACCCCCTGCCACCCTCCCTCTGCAGACCTGGACGAGTGCTCAGAGGGCAACGGCGGGTGCCAGCAGACCTGTGTCAACATGATGGGCAGCTACGAGTGCTTCTGCAGGGAGGGCTTCTTCCTCAGCGACAACCAGCACACCTGCATCCAGCGCCCCGAAGGTCAGTGCACAGCGGCTCTGTGCCCCAGGGCACCCTCCATCCCGGCATTTACCGGGCAGGTCTGTCCCCCGTCACCTCTGGCCACCCCTGTGCAGTGCCTGGGTTTGGCTGCTGCTGCTGGGTCATGACCCTTCGTGGTGCGGCAAATTTGAAAGTGAATCTATTATGAGCACACTGGGAGAGGAGGCTGTGAGGTGATAAACATCCTGCAGCAAAAACCTTGCAGGCACAGCAATACTGAATGAAGGACATTAATCCTATGCCCAGAGCAGGTTATTAATAAATGGAACCCGGAGGTCCTCACACCACCCTGCCAGACTCATCTTCTCCTGCCAGGTCTTGTACAGCACCGAGCCCTTCATCTTGGTATCAGCTCTAAATTGCTGCCGTCTGGAGCAATCTCTTAGCCAAAATAGAAGGAAATGAGAGATTTTTGCATCTCTGCTGATTTTTATCTCCACTGCTTGGCAAAGCAAGCTGAAGGTTTTTGCTTTCCTCTTCCCCCTTCCCAACTGTGTTGGTCACTCTGGCTCCCCGGGAATCTTGCCCAGCCCAGGATGGCTCAGCAGCCACAGTGGCATCTCCCATGTCCCCAGCCCTCTGTGTCTGGGAGGGATGAGCTGTCTGCTTCTTCCTCCTGGTGCTGCAGTGGGTGGCCCCACTGGGGAAAGGAATGCAGATGCTGTGTTTTGAGTCAGTGGGATTTAAAGCCACCTTGAGGTGTGAGAGCAAGGTCTCACCCAAGGCGGGAGGGAATCAAAGGTTGAAGGCTCCTAGGTAGTTTTGTCCACCTTCTCAAGTAGCTCTGTGTCAGGAGGAGCTGCCCGTTGAGGCTGCCCAGGGTTAACCTGTTCCCCCAAGATCCTCACTGACAAGGTTTTCCTCTCATTCCCCCCATCGTCCCATCCCACCTCAGACATGCTTCTGCCACTGCTGACCAGTGCCAGCAGCTTTTGGAGCATTTCTTTGCTTCCTTTTCTCTTTTAGAAGGAATGAACTGCATGAACAAGAACCACGGCTGCGCCCACATCTGCCGGGAGACCCCCAAGGGGGGCATCGCCTGTGAGTGCCGCCCTGGCTTCGAGCTCACCAAGAACCAACGTGACTGCAAATGTAAGGAGCCCTCTGGGGCTGGAGATACAGCCTCCTGGAGACCCCCTAACCCTGTCCTCATGATACAAACACCTCCTGTCCCTGCAGCAATACCCTGACCCCCCCGGTAGCAATTGATTCATCAAACCTGAAGCCCAGCACGCCCAGCTCTGCCTCTGTTCCCTTACGGACGGTACTCCTGGCACTTCTCTCTGCCATGAGATGTTCTGTCCTTACATGACCAGGCTGAAATGGCAGTTAAAGGGGTCCCAGAGACACAGCATCCCCTGTCCCTGTCCCAGTGTTTCACTTTCTGAAGGGGAGGTGAACAGGGAGAATGCGATCGGCACGTGAGGAGTGCAGGAATCCTTTTCCTGGGGGTCGTGGTGCTCTCAGCTCGTCTGATCTCCTGCCAGCATTCCGCTGGCACTGCCAGGGTTATTAAATAGATATATATGTGTTTATGCAATTATTTTTATTTTGCTTCTCATTTGCTGTCTGCAGCAAACGTGTAAAATCACTGATGAAATGGAGTTTTAATCCTAGGAGCCTATTTTCTCTCTAATCTAAATGAACAGCAAACCTTGCCCCCAGGGGAGGGCTGGGAGGGATTCCCAGAAGATCCTGAGTCATTCCAGAGCTCAGGAAAGTCTCACCCTTCCCCTGTAACACCAGATTCAGGGTCGGGGCAACCAGCCCACTGGTCCCCTTTGCTCAGTCTCCACTAGTGGCATTTAGCAGACATGAAAAAGGAAGATATGAGAAACCACACAACAGTTTGCATCTGCTGAGATCCCACAGGGAAAGTGAAGGGCTTTAGGAATTATCCAGGAGGGAGGGAAGTCTCCGAGGGTATGGACAAGGTGTTTCCAAGCCGTTTTTGTGCACTGCGTGGGGATGCCAGGCAGGGAGGAAGGAGCTGGGGCCGTGGTGACGCCGGTGCTTTGCTTCCACAGTGACCTGCAACTACGGGAACGGGGGTTGCCAACACACCTGCGACGACACCGACCAGGGACCCAAATGTGGCTGCCACGTCAAGTTCCTGCTCCACTCCGACGGGGTGACGTGCATAGGTAGGTCAGACCATTGGCCACGGGGACGTGGGGCAGGGTGGCTCGTCCTCCTCCCTGGGTGGTTTGTCCTTGGCCTGCTGAAGGGTTTATCCCAAGCTTTGGGAATGCAACATTTCCTTTTGCTGAGACTGAGGAAGCTCAGTGTGTATGTGAGGGGTGCTGCAGCACCCGCGGGTGCAGGGATATGTTGCTGCTCAACCACAAGGAGCAGAAGTGACCCGGGGATGCTTGAAGGGACGTTGTGCTGGGGTGTGGACAGGGGTCCCTGCCTGCATCCGTGCTGCTGGAGGGAGAGCAGTAAGGATATCCCCATGCCAGAAATTGTTACTGTTGCTGTCACCAGCAGCTTTTGAGGAGGGACATGGAGAGGACAGGTTTGGCCACAGCAATCTGTTCCAACTTGGCACTGTGTGGCCTTGGCCCAGGAACAATTGTCTTGCAAAAAAGAAAACCAAAACCCCAACAACCTGACAACTCAACCACCCCAGAATTGTCCTTTTCCTGTGTGTGTTTTCAAATTGTAGAACATCAAACAGAGATGGAAGTTTTACTGGTTTCATATGCTTGTGCTGTTTAACAGCTGCTTTGATTTAAAAAATGTTATATTTGGGGAGTGATTAAGTCCACAAATTGCTTGAGACGTTTGAGTTCTTATTGCAAAATGAAAAAGAAAGCAAGAGAGATTTTGGCTCCCTGTGTCCCTGCTGTGCCTGAACAGAAAACCCTCTGCACTTTCCGCAGATGACTCTGTCCTCAGGGCAAACAGCAGTGGAGCCCCCGAACCCTGCCTGCTCCCAGCCAGCTTGAGGGGTGTTTGGGGCTGAGCCCCCAGCAAAGCCCCCCGGCCCATCAGCTCGCTGCTGCCTTAATGTCACCATTGTCCCCCAGGATGGATCCCAGTCCCTCCTGGCTGCTGGCAGGGGCTCGCAGCCCCGGGTCCCCGCCGTCCTCGGGTTTGTGTCCTGTCCCCAGGGGGTTGTTGTTGTGCCCAGGTGGGCAGAGCTCCTCCAACAGGGACCCCGGGGTGCATCAGCTGGTGTGTTCCTCCTGGATGGAGGGCTCTGTGCGTGGTGTCTGTGTTGGTGCAAGGACTTGGGCAGGTTTGGGACCAAGGATGCTCCTGACCTGCTGGGTGTGGCTGGGGGCGGCAGCTCTCCAAAGCATCCTTTAATTTGGGGGATGCTTGAGAGTGGTCTGTTTACTGGGGGATCTCTGCAGTCATACCCTGGGTACCACAGGTGTGAGAGCGAGATTTGGGGTCTTCCAAAATCATTCATCCTCATGGCCTTGGCCAGAATCTCCCTCTTTGTCCCCACACCCTTCAGCGTATCTGCTAGGGAGATATCTCCCACCAAAGACAGCACATCCCTGTGAGCTCTCCCCTTGTCCACCTTCCCAGGGCAAATCAAACACTGCACAGGAGGATTTTAGGAGCAGCATCAGCCCAAAGCCCACCACCACGTCTGTCTCATCCCTTTGGGATCTGCAGTCCCCTCTTACAGGAAGGGGCCTGCCTAGCTCCCACATTCCCTGGAGGATTCCTGGCCCCCATCCCCACTGTGGGAACACTGTGGGATTGTGCCTCGGCTACTGGGAGCCAGCAGCAACCCCGCAGGGATGCCCAGGCAGGGGATTTCCAGCCAAGGTACCTGCTTGGATATTTATAACCACCCTTTCTTGTTTTACGGCCGGGGCTCAGCAAACAGCCCTCCCCCATCCACGGTGCCCCCGTCACCGCCCCTTCCCCATTTCCTCAAAAATATTTCATCATTTCAAGGGAAATAAATTTTCCAGTGAGTGGAAACGCAAAGTCGTTCCCCAGGCCATGGGCTTTGAAATTGTACTCGGTGTGTTTGATGGGCTGCCGGGACAGGCCCCTGGTCCAGGTTCCCTTCAGATCACACCACGCGGCAGGAAGCACGATCAGCCCCTCTGAGTGACAGTTTCATTAGGCCACGGCTGGTGTTTTTCATTTTTCCGCTTTTTATTGCTGCTTTTAAAAATGCAGATAATGAATAACATGCCTCTGAGCAAGGGGGCCAGAGCTAATGGCTCCCGACATGTCTGCAGGCACAAGGGGGAGGGGGAGGCGGGAGGGGAGGCCAATGACCTTGTATATTTATATTTATGCTCCAAAAGCAGTCTTTAAAAAAAAAAAAAAAAGCACATGCTGAGGGTGCAGTGCCCTTGGGGAGATGCAAACAGCTGTTGCAGTTGATGCACATTTTGGCTTTGTGGGAAGATTTACCAGCCAGGGCATCATTGCAGCTCCCCCCTGCTGATATCTGGGGTGCATCAGGGCCATTGCTGGACCCCTGCTTGTGGTGAGCACTGGTGGAGTGGGAGGGGGTGAGTGGAGAGGAAATATTATTAGATGGAGAGGGAAACTAAACCCAGCTCGAGTTTTATGGCTGATTTCCTGACCCACGCCCAGGCGGTTTGCGGCGGCACTGCCGATGTGCCCTGGCTTTGTGGATCCGGCAGTGTCGGGAGCAGAGTCTGTGCCAGTCCCACTGCCAGATCAATGCTGGGGGCACCCACACACGGGTGAGGCTGAGCAGCCCAAGCACACCCAGAATTTGGGCTCACTGCTGGCTTGGCTGCTAAATCCAAGGCATGCAAGTGTCACTGGCAGGACACGGTTCCCTTCCCGAGGCCCATGGCTGCACAGTATCCACACAGCTTCTCTTGGGAATTGCCACCTGCCCTGGCACATGCTGGATTTGCTCCAACAAGGGCAAGGACCCGGTTGCCCAGACTAACAGGCTGCACTAACGCTCCTCATAATATGCTTCTCCCTCTCGCATGGGGCTCCAGCCAGTCCAACACAGTGTGTGAAACTGGAGAGGGTTTGGAGAGGCTGAGGGACATGAGATGCTTGGGGCAGGGTGATGGAGGAGTCAATAGCACTGGACCCAAACCTCAGGTTTGGGCTCTTTTGGGAGGTGGGGGAGAAAAAGCCTAAAAGGACAGTTTCCACCAGGCTGGAAAGGCAGCGGAGTCAAACCCATTGACATGTGACACCAACCGAGTTCCTTGCTGGACACTGTTTCTAAATCACTTTTTTATAATGTTAAACAGGGGAGAGACACTTCCAGCAACACGTTATCCTTGAGACGTTTTCTAATGGTAAATATTTTTGTTCTCTCTATCTCTACAAAGGGGTCTAACTGTAGATGGTCTCTCTTCTTGAGATCATAACAGGGCTCGGGGGGCTGAGCTGCCATGCTAACTGCATGTCTCACTAACTGTGCCCCGCTGCTGCTTCCAAACCCTGCAGGGCCAGCCTGGCCCAGGCTGCCAGCAGGCTGGGCTGGGGGACAGAGCAGAAAACCCTCCCCTGGCTGTGCTTGCATGAGATGGGGGCTCTCGCTCTGCTTTAGTCAATCCAGCCTGGCCCAGGGGGTGACAAATCCACTTTGCAGGCTGTGGTGGTTACCCCCCACCAACCAGGAGGAGCTCACAGTGGGCTGCCAGCAGCCATGCAATGGGGAGGGGGGTGCTCGTGCCCATCTCTGTGCTGTGCACTCCCACAATTACCCCTTCCCAGAGCCCACCCACTCACAGATAGTCCCCTCTGGGATATTCTGGGTGTCCCAGGGCTAGGTCTCACAAGGCTGCTCGCCATGCCAAGGCTCCCAGCCTGGAGCTGCAGCAGTGGCAGAGCTGCAATGGCCCTTTACACGGCTGGACACCTCTCCAGGGGTTTCTTTGCATCCCCGTGGTGTCGTCAAGCCCTTCAAAAAGGTAAGGTGACACCTCTGCTCTGCCACCAAGAAAACTGAGGCAGAAGGTGCAGCTACTTGTCTGTGGTGAGGAATCTTGTTCCTGGATGTGTGGGGAAAAGCAAACTCCTGGCACATCCAGAAGGAGCTGCGGGAGTGCACCTCACCAGTGCAGGGAGCACTGACTGCAGCTTTCGGGGTCTCTGAAGAGCCTTTCCCACAGGGGTGGGAGAAGGAAGGGAGCCCAGATCCACTCAGTCACTGCACTTCAGCCAGCCCAGCTGTAATCCCTCCAATTACCATGGAATTATCCCCTCAGGCTCATGGGATCACATCCCAGAAGGTGGAGGCAAGGCTGCACCATGTGCAGCCAGGGCTCTGCAGTCGGGAGGGTGCTGAGCAGGGCGAGGAGCGCTGTGGCACAGCAGCCGGGAAGTGAGACCACAGCTGAGATGGAGTGTGGAGCTGCTTTGCTCACTCACTGCCCAAGTGGTGGATGCCTCGCCGAAGCCCAGTGTGGCAGTGGCTCTGGGATGGTGGGTGGGATTGGCCTTACATCGGTGCCACAGTGCTGGAGGAGGCTGCGAGCACCATGAAGTGTGCCCAGGGCACTGCACTCTCTTGAGAGCCCCTCGGCAGTGACCCTGTTAAATCAATCCTCCCCTCTGCTGCTTCTGCATCAGCTGCTGAAACAAAGGCTGGTGTTTAATAATTCACTGGGCTTCCAGAAAGTTTCCCTTCCCTTGGGCGCAGTGTCACCCGCCCTGTGTCCTCGCCCTGGCGCCGCAGGGAGAGGACAGCCCTGGCACGGCTGGGCTGCGTGCAGCACAAGGACCTGGCTGAAGGAATAGTATCCACAGAAATCCCTCCCTTGCTGTTAGGTTTTGTAATTGTGCTGGCGATTAATTTCATAAAATGGTCTCTTTTGTTCTCTTATTATGGGACATCATAAAAATAGCAGTGGCAAGACGAGCACAGAACGATCCCAGCTCCCGAGCCCTGCGGCGAATGGTTGGATGATTCTGTCATTCCCACCCCATGCAGCGCTTGCAAAGAGCAGGAGAACCTGGGATTTGCTCTTTCCAAGGAATTTCTTCAAGGCATTTTCATCTTGGGTTCCTTGAAGCCCAAATGCCTCATTTATCCAAGCAACCAGCCTTCTGAAAGGAATATTTTATTATCCTTTGTGAACAACTTAATGCACTTCAAACCATTGTTCTAGTGGTTAGGGTCAAAATTGAGGATTGATCTCACAGGGAAGCTGTCAAGTTGAAAATGTTTCATTTAAATTAGTGTCCCTTCTAGTCCTACCAGCAACAGCTGATTTTGATAATACTGAAATAATTAGCTTTTTTTTCAATTGGAGTTTTTTTCCACTGATGCTGCCTGCCTCTGAGTGTGTGTTCTAATTACAAAGTGTCTCCCAAATTAGCCTGCAACACTGGACCAGCTGCTGTGCCCAAGCAGCACGGGGTCACCTGTAGCTTTGTGGCTCAGTAGCTTGGTGGCAGCAAGGGGGCTGGGACGCCCCTGCCACCTCACTGGGAGACTGAGGCTGCACACCCGCAATCACTGGGGAGCCACAGCCTGGGCACCCCCGTCGAGACCTGTCTCTGGCTGCATTTGCACAAGTGCTGTGACTTTTTCCCCTGGAAATTCAATTCCTCCTCATTGGAGCTGCTGAAGCCAGCCTCCATGAGACCCTGTTTGCGGGGGACATGCAGCCCCTATGCCAGTGTGTTCATTAATTCGGGACTCTGTGACCTCGTTACTGTTGAGTGAGAAGCCAAGGGCTCTGCAGGGAGGTTTGTATCTGCTGCTGCTTCTAGGCTGTGGCATGGTGGATATCTGGGTGCTGTGACTCCCTCCCCCAGCCTTTTGAACACCAGTCCCTAACCCCAGCCTTTCTCTCCCCTCCCCATGCAGAGACGTGTGCTGTGAACAACGGGGGCTGTGACAGCAAGTGTCACGACGCGGCCACGGGCGTCCACTGCAGCTGCCCCATGGGCTTCATGCTCCAGCCTGACAGGAAGACCTGCAAAGGTAGGGGGGTGTGAACAGGGCTGGGGTGCTCACTGCTCACCCCTGGGTGCCTCAGGCCCCCTTTGTGTCCTTGGTGCCCTTAAAAAAGGCTCTACATTGCCCACCATGTTCACTGGCTTGGTGTTTGCATCCATGTGGTGGGGACAGGAGTCACTCCCCTGCACGGGCACTTGGCTGTCTTGCTGCAGGCACCGTGCTTAGCCCTGCTCCTCTGGGAAGCCTATGGAGAGGAGGAGAAGGGGGTCAGGTCAAGTTGGAGGTGATGGCATGGCCCTTGTGGGGCTGGAGTGCCACCCCAGTGCCTCAGCTGCCCCAGGGGTAGGTCTGGGTGTGCAGGGAATCAACACCTGCTCTGGCAGTTTGAGGTGCATGAGTCCCTCTGGGGTCACTGTCCAGCCAGGTCCGAGCACCGTGTCCCACTTGGGGGAGAACATCCTGAGATGCACCACATCCCACTGACATCCCCAACCACCTGCCCCCACAAGACAGGGCAGTCAAGGCTGGTTATCCCAGCACCACAAACCTGCCCCCCTTGGGGGTGCCCAGTGCCTGTGTTGTGTCTTTTGGCAGCTCCGGGAACTTGACCCCGGCTGAAAGGAAAGCCTGTCTTGCTGCCGTCTGCCTGTCTACCTGCTGACTGCTTCCAGAACCCCTGCCCCTGGTATTTTATCAGAGCATCCCCCCTCTCCAATTCTGCAGTTTCCAGGAACATGCAATAACATGGAGCCACGGCCCCTGTGTCTGGGGTTTTATTATGGCTGCGGGTGGGTTTACAGCTCGCTCCCTCGCAGTCGTATAAAAGAAAGCCTCAGCCCCATCGAGGCAGAGCTGTTACCCTGGCGCTGGGGGATGGAGGTACAGGGCAGGCCACTACCTCTTCCTGGTCTCTTTCCATTTTACAAGTCATTTCCTAGCAGTAAATTTTGTGATTAGTGGAAAAATTAGAAAAACAACTGAAAAAAAAAGTTTCAGCCTCTTTTCAGTTTGTTGGGGCTCTTTGCAGTTATTGTGTGTCATCCTTTTTAGCTTTGGCTTTCATGGCAGGAAGGAGGTGGCAAGCAGAGAGGCCAGGGCTGAAAAGTAGTTATTTGTTAAGTGGCTGTTTCTGAAGGAGAGGTTTTCCCTTCTGGATTTTCTTTCTCTTCCTGTTGCTCCTGGTCCCCCAAGCAGCCCCCAGCCCAAACCCATGACTCTGCAAATTCTGGTCTGGTGCTCTCCCTCAGCTGCAAGGCTCTTTCAGAGACCGTGGATCCCAGCTCTGCTCCAGGGGATGCTGAGACCTGCAGAAAGTAGTTGTTTTGCACCACTTTCAAGGGGAGCTGAGCCTGGAGTCCCGGCCAGTGTCACACACTGGCTCCCCAGATGCACCCAGAGAAAACCAGCAGCCACATTACACTGGTGACCATCAGAGCCCAAAGGGTTTCCTCCGCTTGCCAGCTCCAGAAGGGAGCACCCGTCTCTCCTGGGCAAGCATCCCAGACAGGGTGTGACGGGTGTCCCTTGTTCCTGCCAGACATTGACGAGTGCCGGCTCAACAACGGCGGCTGTGACCACATCTGCAGGAACACTGTGGGCAGCTTTGAGTGCAGCTGCAAGAAGGGCTACAAGTTGCTCATCAATGAGAGGAACTGCCAAGGTAAGGGACAGGGGGCCCCCAGCATCCTGCCCTGTCCGGGGATGGCACCTCTCTCCCATGTCTTGCAGCCCTCCCACAGCTGCTGCTGGAGGAGTGCTGCCCCGGTTACTCATTCCTCTGGACCACATACATCCTTTGGGGGATTAGTGCTGGATTTGGGTTCTGGTCTGGGGCTTAGCCCTTTGATCTCAGAGCTGGGGACTTGTGGGTTCTTCTTGAGGCAGAGTTAAAGCCGGCAATTAGACAGATGCCAGGCTTCCTGCTTTTTGGAGGGTGGGAGTTGGGGGGAAGATGCCCCCTGCTCACTCCGGAGGGAGCTGGCTGCTCTATGCTGTTTCTTCCACCTTTTTCTTTCTGTCTTGACATCCTTCTGCATGTCCCACATAAACACAGCAGGTTTAAATGACCCAGCAGGTCGCTGGGCTGTCCTGGTAGGAATGTGGAGCTCTGCCCCCCCAGCCCACGGCCAAGGTCAGCATGGCAGGTGTGCATGAGCCCGAGTGTTGCCTCCTGAAAGCACACAGCTGGGGAAGGAGGGGGCTGTTACGCTCTGGGGCTGCCACTGCTTTCATCTCCCTCCAGGTTCTATGCTCTGAGAGTTTGACATGAGCTCAGCAATTAACTTAATGAAGCCAGTGAAATGACGCTCCAATCTGCCAGGTTGGGTTCACCCTCCAGCCAGGGCCTCCCTGCCCCAGCGAGGTGCCCACGGGGCCAAGCAGACATTGCTGGCACCACCCCTGTGGCAGGACCTGCCTGTGCAGCATTCCTCATCCTGCCCTGGCACAGGGCTGAGCACTGGCCAGGCAGCAGTCAGCCAGGGGCTGTCACAGCTCTCCCATGCCAAGGACATGGTGCTGGCCTCGTTTGGCCCATCTGAGATGCAAAGGGGCTGCAGCAGCTTGCAGCCAGGAGATGCTGGTGTAGTGGGTGAGGAGGGAGCTCGGAGGCAGGCAAGGTGGGACCACAGGGTCCTGTAGCATACTGGTGCTTGATCCCCAGAGCAATCTGGTGCTGGATCCTTGGAGCATCCCAGTGCAGGGTCTCATAGCATTGCAGTGCAGCTCCCAGCTTGCTGGAGCAGTTGGAGCAGGAAGGGGACAGCCCTTGTGTCATGAATGGCCCCTCTGCCGTGCCAGCCCTTACCTCCTTCCCTTGCTTTCCCCCAGACATCGACGAGTGCTCCTTTGACCGGACCTGTGACCACCTCTGCATCAACACCCCCGGCAGCTTCCAGTGCCTCTGTCACAAGGGCTACACACTGTATGGGCTCACGCACTGCGGAGGTAGGGCCAGCTGGGTGCTGGCAGCAGCACCTGCAGCCCCACAGGGTTTGGGTCCCAAGGAGGCACATGGGGCCCCCGGGGGTGGGGCAGCCCCACGGTACGGCTCCTGTGGCACCCCTGGGGATAGAGCTCACCCCAAGGGCCCATGGAGAGGGTCGGTTCCACGTATACCCCAGGCTAAGACCAGGCAGGGAGGGGGCTCACAGCCAGACAAACTGGTGTCTGCAACATCAAACAGAGCGACAGGAACAATTTGCGACTTGTCTGCAGCAGGAGAAAGGGAGAAATCCCCGACGTTTTTGGCAGGGAGCTGGGACAGGGTGGGAAGGGGAACATCAAAAGGGTTTGATTTAAATTTCACAAGGCAGATAGCTCCCAAGGGCGGGGGCGTGAAGCGCCCGGGAAGCGGGAGGCAGATGAAACATGCTTTGGAGGGGTTGCCGGAGCGTGTCGTGGCAGCGGTGCCGGCAGCCCGGGATGACGGCAGCAGGAGGCCGGGTGCTCCGATGCCTCCGGCTGGTGAGGGCAAGCACCTTCTCATATTCCCAAAATATGCAGCCAGCATGAGCCAGCACAGCCCCCAGATGCTTTCAGGGTGACCCTGCAGCAGAGGATTTGACGGCTTCCACCAGTGCCCCCATTGAGGGGTAGCTGAGCAGGGAGAGCTGTAGGGGGCAGCTCCATCCCTGGCCATGCTTCATGCCAGACCTGAATCATAAACACCCTGTTTCAGGCTGGGGCAGAGGGTCCCTGCTGAGAAGAGAGGCCAGAGCTGCTGAGCAGCTGTGTTTGAATTCAGTTCCTAAGTGCTTCCATGTCAGCACTGTCTGCTGTCTCCCCTGCAGCTCCTCAGCCCAGCAGGGCCCAGAGCTGAACTCAGCCTGGATGGGCTGCACCCATCACCACCCAGCCATTGGGGACACCAGGAGTTGGAGTGTCCCTCATCCCCATGAAGCTGGCATGGCTGGAAGTGCCCTGTGGTGCAGATCCCTTGTCCCAGTGTCAGAGCCGGGGGTCTCGCTGACCCTCACCCCCTGCCTCTCCCTTCCTCCCTGCAGACATCGATGAATGCAGCATCAACCGGGGTGGCTGCAAATTCGGTTGCATCAACACACCTGGCAGCTATCAGTGTACCTGTCCCACCGGCTGCAAGCTGCACTGGAACAAGAAGGACTGTGTCGGTATGTCAGGCCAGGAGCCACCACGGCTGGTGGAGGAGTTGGAGGATTTGGGATGCCAGGCTGGCGTCCCCATGCCATGCTCTGGAACCCTCTCCTCCCCAGTGAATCCCCCCATGAGCTGGGAGGGTGCAGGGGTCCCTTGTGGGTCCCTGGGCTGTGCCAGCCACAGGTGTCCCCGATTGTCATCACCAGCCGGCGCATGTCCCATGGAGCTGGTGAAATGCCTGCCAGGTTCGGTGCCACCACGGGCCACCCTCACCTGCAACAAGACAGGCAAGAAGGATAGCTGTGCCCTCTCCTGCACCTCCAAGGCACGATTTCTGCCAGGTACCAGTGCTAGTGCCATGGCCAGCTTGGGCAGAGGGATCCCCATTTCCCTGCATGGCCTAAAGTTGGGAGAGGGAGAATGGCTGCACAGCCGGGGTACAGAGCACCCAAGCAGTGGCTGGGTGAGAGAGGGAGGTTGTTGCTCAGGAGGGCTTGTCATTGGGTGTAGACCCATGGGATGGACCCTGGTGCAGGATCCCCATGGCAGGGCGCTGGGCATCGTCCCCCCACAGCACAGCTGTGCCTCCCTGCATCACCCTGGCAGAGCATCACGGGAACCAGGCAGCTGCTCTGGCATCCACCAACTCCCCTTTCTCCTTCACAGAGTCTGACAGCAGCTACACGGTGAGCTGTGGGACCCCCATCCTGCGGCAGGGTGGCCAGCACAGATCCACAAACAGCAGCCAACAGTGCCTCGGTAAGGGGGCTCCTGAGGTGCCCATGGCCATTGCCAGCCAGGCCGGGCTGTGCCAGGTTGCTGAGCACCTGCCTTTTCTTTTAGAGACTGTCACTGCACCAGTCAAGCAGAAGGCCTCCTTCAAGATCAAAGATGCCAAGTGTTACCTGCACCCGCGGGCCAAGGGCAAGCAGGACGAGGCCGGGAAGGCCGGGGCACAAGGTGAGGTGTGATGGCAGGGGGCCGGGGGGGGTGCCCGTCCTCCCAGCAGAGATGGGGTCCTGACCTGTTCCCCCACGTGCAGGCGGTTCGGCCCCTTGCTCTGACTGCCAGGTCACCTTCGTCAACCTCAAGTGCGACTCAACCAAGAAGGGGAAGGGCCGCCGGGCTCGCAACTCCCCCAACAAAGAGGTGACACGCATCACGTTGGAGTTCGAGGCGGAGATCAAGCCGGAGGAGATCACAGGTGGGTACAGCACTGGCCTGGTCTGTCTCAGGTGCAGGCAGGAGTGGTGGGACCACAGGGACAGTGGTGGGACCAGGGACACAATACCATCCCTATGCAGCAAGGAGAGACAAACTAGTTGTCATCCCGCACTGGACTGGGATGTACTGGGCAGCACTTGCAACTGAGCATAGGGGGGATGGTTTTAATCCTTTTGGGTTTCTCTCTCCATCCCTCACTTCTTACTGCATCCTTGTTTCCCCCTGCACCCCTATTCCCTTCTGCTCCCCCAGCCAGCTGCAACCTGCACTGCCTGCGACAGAGAGTGGAGAAAAAACTGAAGTCGGCCATCAAAGCCCTGAAGAAATCCATCAACCAGGAGCGGTTCCTGCTCCGCTTCGCAGGGATGGAGTACGAGGTGGCGCGGAAGCTGAGCGTGGCCCCGGAGCGGCAGGAGAGCTGCGGGCCGGGCCAGCAGCGCCTGGCTGGCAAGTGTGGTAAGGAGCAGGGGGGTATCTGGGGGGGCCCCAGCAGTGACAGCTCCCACAGCATCACCGATGTCCCCCCTGGCTCTCAGTCAGCTGCTCGCAGGGAACCTATTACCACGGGCAGACGGAGCAGTGCGTGCCCTGTCCCCCCGGCACCTACCAGGAGAAGGAGGGGCAGCTTTCCTGTGACCTGTGTCCCCGCGGAGACACATTCGGGCCTGTAGGAGCCACCAACATCACCAGCTGCACAGGTAAGGAGAGCATGGAGTGGGACCGGAGGCACACTTGGGGAATGTCCAGGGCTGCAATCTCAACCTTCAGCCAGAAGAGGGGAAAGCCCTAAGCATTGCCAGAGCCCACAGAAGTTGCTATTTTGGGTGTTTATCATTTTGAGGGGATCCTGGGAAAGGCTGCACTTGCTCTGGATATACTGGTCCTGCCAAGGCTGTTGGGGGAGAGGATTTGGACACGGGGCAGGAGAGCTCTGGGTATGTGGGGTGCCAGGACTGAGTGATGCCTGTGCCCACAGGTCAGTGTCCCCCTGGCCAGCACTCAGCTGATGGCTTCAAGCCCTGCCAGCTGTGTCCCCGTGGGTCCTACCAGCCCGAAGTGGGACGGGCGCTCTGCTTCCCTTGTGGTGGGGGGCTGACCACCCGCCACGAGGGAGCCCTCTCCTTCCAGGACTGCGACACCAAAGGTAGGTCAGAGCTGGTCCCTGGGGAGGGGGCAGCCAGTGGGGTTGTGCTGGCAGCTGAAACAGTCCCCTTTGCTCTCTTGACCCCACAGTCCAGTGCTCCCCAGGGCACTACTACAACACAAGTGTCCACCGCTGCATCCGCTGCGCCGTGGGCACCTACCAGCCCGATTTCCGGCAGAATTACTGCATCGCCTGTCCCGGCAACACCACCACCGACTTCGACGGCTCCACCTCTGTGTCCCAGTGCAAAAGTAGGCGAGCTAGGGTGCGATGGGGGGGCAGATAGGCGTGCGGTTCTTCCTCAAAAGTATTTTAAAATCCTGTAAAATAGAGTTTTGAGTCATTTCAGTGCTTTATGCATGCGGGCAGGCATGGGGGGATGCATGGAGCAGTGCTAATGGAACACGCCCCCTCACCCAGTAAACCACCCACAGGGGAACACTCCACCCCCAGTGCCCATGGCACTGATTCCCAGTGGAACTGGCTCTCCCCATGCCTTGCAGACCGGCAGTGTGGAGGGGAGCTGGGTGAGTACACGGGCTACATCGAGTCGCCAAACTACCCGGGGAATTACCCTGCCAACGTCGAGTGCACCTGGAACATCAACCCGCCACCCAAGCGCAAGATCCTCATCGTGGTGCCAGAGATCTTCCTCCCCTCTGAGGACGAGTGTGGCGACGTCCTGGTCATGCGGAAAAACTGTAGGTAACCGAGCAGGCCACGGTGCTCACAGGAGGAGCTGAGGGAGGAAAAGTTCAGGGTTTGGCACGGCTGTCTTGTGCAAAGGGAGAAAGCCACATCCCCGGCCAGCAGGAGGAGAATTTTGGGAATTGAGTGGGGAGATCAGCATCACCCTACTGGCCTGGTGTCTTGCTGGATCAGGGGGATGTTGATGGGCTGGGCTGCACATCTGAGTCTCAGCATTACTTTTTGTGGGTAAAAAGCCCCATTTGGAGATTTCCAGAGCAAGGAAGAAATAACAACATCCCTGGTATGTAACATGAGGGTTAGGGGGGCTCAGCCTTGCCGAACATGGACAATCCCCATCCCTGGTGCTGCCCTTCACCCTGAGCCTTTTACCCCAGTAAGGCTGGGGGTAGGTCCGCTGATGGGCAACCGGCATCCCGTGTCCCCTTGCCATTCCCTGCAGCCTCCCCATCCTCTATCACCACCTATGAGACGTGCCAGACCTATGAGAGGCCCATTGCCTTCACCGCCCGCTCACGGAAACTGTGGATCAACTTCAAAACCAGTGAAGCCAACAGCGCCCGGGGCTTCCAGATCCCCTATGTCACCTATGACGGTGAGCACAGGGCACAGGAAGACACTATTCTGGCAGGCCGATGCCACCCTGCCCGGCTTGGGACCCAGGTCACCCCCAATTGACATCTTCTGTGTGTTTTGGGGGGAGTGGACTCAGGGATGGGGACCAGATGCTTGGACACAAGTGGCAGCGCGTGCCCTGACTGTGTTTTTCGGCTGGGTGTTGCAGAGGACTATGAGCAGCTGGTGGAGGACATTGTGCGGGATGGCAGACTCTACGCCTCTGAAAACCACCAGGAGATCCTCAAGGTGAGCGTGTGCCCCCATGTCCATGCTACCCAGGGCTGCAGGGGATGCAGGAACATCCTTCCCTTCAGGGGTGCCTCATGCTCTCCCTGCACTCAGGGGTTCAGTTCGGAGCCGCTGCAGGGGAGCACAAGGCAGGGTGGTGAACCTCCCTCTGGCTCGGTTTCCCTGCAGGACAAGAAGCTCATCAAAGCTTTCTTTGACGTGCTGGCACACCCCCAGAACTACTTCAAGTACACCGAGAAGCACAAGGAGATGCTGCCCCGCTCCTTCATCAAACTCCTCCGCTCCAAAGTCTCCAGCTTCCTTCGGCCTTACAAATAGCCCCCCGCGCCCCCGCCGTCCCAGGCCGCCCCGCAGCCAAGGAAACCCTCTTCTCCCTTCCTTCTTTCCGATTTTTCCTTCCTCCACCCGGCTCTGGCAGGATCACCACCGCTCATCCCGCAGACATCTCCCCACGATTTCCCCGCCGCTCCCTGCAGAGCAGTGCTCCCAGCCTTGGGGATGCTCTGGCCTCATCCAGCTGGGGACGAAGCCGCTCCCTTTTTTCAAAGCAGCTTCTTCGTTTTAGGAAACTGAAGTACTGGTCCTTTCACTGTCCTCTGTCCTGCCTTTGGTTTCCTTTTCGCCAGGTCTGTCCATGTTCCCTGGTGCCACCGGCAGCCCAGGACACTGAGGGGGTCACTGTCCTTCCAGCCCTTGGGGCTGGTGCTGGCTGCAGCCCCACAGAGCCCTTCGCAGAGGAGTGCAGGGGGTGAAGCCGTGTTCACCACAGCGCTGGGCCGTGGGCATCGGTGCTGCTTTGCAGAGGTTGGGGGAAAGACCATTGACAAAGCCGACTTGATTAAAAAGGAAACGTAAAGGAGAGATGGCAAAGCCCACCAGCATGGCAGTGTGGTGGCTCCGTGGCCATCCCGCTGGAGAGCCGGGCTGGCACTCAGAGGGAAGTGCAGCCAAGCCACATTCCCAGAGAACAATGTCTGGCTGCACAGGAGAAAACAGGGAGCAAAGGAGAAGGACTTTCAGCTGGGTTCGATTTTTTTTTTCCCCCAACTCCAGACACTTGTGCCAAGAAACCAGACTTTGTTACAAGCTCGGCCAAAGAGTAACTCAGAAAAGCAAGCTTTGAGAAGAGCAGGAGTCAATGTTTGTGCACTAGGATATACTCCTTTCTACCTTTCTCATATGTATTAAGTGCAATCATTTGAGTCTTCTTTTTATTATTTAGAGGGAAGTTGTGGTTTTTTTTTTTCTACTAGAAATGACAATATTTATACCTGCCTGAGAAATGAGAATGTGCATTTGCAAGAAAACAAAAACCACCCACCTAGAGCAAGCCTGGCCCTGGGCTGCACTTACCGGCACGATGACGTCTTCAGGCCTTTTCTGCCACATTTGTCCCCAGTAAAGGCCCCTGTTCTGGGGGGAGATGGTGCCTCTCCTGCTCAGGACAATGGGGTGAGTTTTTGCAGGGAGTTTGAGGCATCTTGATCCGTCCACAGGGGGTGGAGCAGCTGAGCTGGCCGTGCCCTTTCAGGCTCATCTGCCACGGTTTGGGTGCTGTTCAAGCCTCATTGCGAGGGGGATCAGAACTTGGCCCATCATCTGCTTGTTGCAAACTGATCTGCTTTCCCGCAGGGGCTCACGGATGAGCCAAGACCATGGAAGATGGAGTGGCAGCTCCTAAGGTCAGGTCTGGGGCACGCTGGGAGGAGAGGGGAGCTGCGCCTCCACTCAGCCCCTAAATTTTTCCCCCAGGTACGGAGAGATCTGGAGGCAGAGCCACCCTCCCGCCTCTGGGCAGCCTTTGTGCTTCCAAGTTTCTCTTCCAAGGTGCTTTTGGCTCCGTCCTTCTGCACAGTGCTCGTCCCACAGGGATGCTGTGGAAGCCCCTCCCCAGGGAATGGGGTGCAGATCCTGGGAAAGACCCATCCTGCCACCTGCTGTTTTACTGCCACCTGCCTGCCCCCTGCTTTGCAGACTTGGTTCGGGGCAAGGGCCGGGTGGACACCACTGGTGGGTTTGATCCCCAGCATGCAGACAGACAGGACCTCCAGGGACAGGTGACTGCTGCCACCAGTCATCCCTCCTCGTCCTTCCCCAGCCTCCCTCCCTTTCCAGTCCTGCCACCAGCTCTCAGCTATCATCTCCCTGTGCCTTCATCCTCTCAAAAACCTGGAGTTGTCAGAACTAAACATGGTCAACTTGCCTACAGCTCTGCCAGAGGCAGGTCCCCTCCCACCCTTGTACCCACCTGTCCCTCCCCATCCCTTTGCCCACACCTGGGCCCATGGGCCCAGCCCTGCTTTTAACAAACCAATTATTTATTGCTCTGCACATCCCACTGGGATGTCTTTCCTGAATCCAGGAGGCAGCTGCTCATCCCTGTTTTCCCTCCTTGATCCACACTGCTCCAGCACTCCAAGAGCCTCTCCCAGGCTCCGTGAGGGGCTGCCAGCAGGGTGAGCACTGGCACAGGGGCTGAGGTTTGAGGTTTGTCCCCAAGATGTGTCAGTTGGAAAAGTCTGTCCTGATTCATCCCAGCTGTGGATTTTCCCCTCCTGCCGCCGGCTCCCAGCCTGTTTGGAAGCTCCCCATCTGTGGGCCGTGCTGTTTACCACTTGGTTGCTGTCTGAAAGCAGCTGCTTTGATGCACAAAAGCTGCTGCAGGGATCTGGAGGGGCTTTGTGGCTGTGCAGGGCAGTGACCCTTGAGAGAGTCCTTCAGAAGAAAAAAAACCAGCAAAAATACAAGTCTGGGAATAACCAACCCCACTGTGGTGCCCCAGTCCACAGCAGTCCAGCAAAGAGTTCATTAACTCTGGGTGATCTAACATGGGCTCACTGTCCCTCTGACCCTGCAGGGCACCAGGGCCTCAGTGTCCCAGTTGTCACCCTTGTCACAACCACCACCTCTGCTCCCCTAAAGCAGCTCTGGAAGCATGAGGTGGGCAACAAATCCTCCTGTAATGGCACCTCCTCTGCCACCTTTCACCAAATAGCTCAAAAAACCCCAAAAAAGTCCACAAGGCCCCCAGAGCACCTCCTCCAGTGTAGCTCAGCCCCACTCCCCCATCCACCCCCAGCTCAGAAAGGGTTTCAAAGGCTGAAACCCACACCAGCCACCTCGGGGATGAACTGAATGTTTCAACACGGTGAACAGAAATGAGGGTTTTTGGAGTTGTTTTTTTTTTCCATGTTGGAGTATTTATATCTGGCTTTTGCAGCAGGCCAGGACTTGCCATCGCCAGCAAAAATGATTATTAAAATGATGAGCAAGATGTAGTTCATGAAGTTATTTGCACTTGATTAAAAGAAAAATGTATTTGAACTTTGTAAAAAGAAATGTTTGCATTTTGTATTGTCTTTTTTTAATTATTAAATGGAATTTCTTGGTGTCATGTTGATCTTTCAAAAAACTGGCTCGGATGCTTATTTGAAAGGTTTCTAACAGCAGGATCCAGAGCTATTTTCATTGTTCGGTTTCCTCAGATGCTGACAAGCTTTTCCAGGGCCCAGGGTATTTTTTTTCCCTGTTCAGACTTCCCTAAGCTCACTAGTCCCAGCACGATGTATTTATTTATGCACACTAATTAGATGCAACAAATCTGATTTTTAGCCCAGAATAAGGAGTTGGACATAGGCTGGCTCAGAGGGAAGAGGGGATGGAACACACTCTGTACCCTTGGCCCCAACCCCGTTGCTGGGCTGCAGCTCCATCCCTGGGCAGCTGGACGATGCCCATCAAGTCCTCACATGCTGCACCTTGGGCAGAATCCCCCCACCCGAGGCTGGAGCACCAAAAGCCTTCAAAAGCTGGTGCCCCCCTCAGATTAAGGCTGGGCTCTGAAGCAGGATGGCTGCAGGTGAGCACTGCAGGCAAAGGTCTGTTTTGTGGGCACAGTTTAACTGCTGAAACTCTACCTGCCCCTGGGACACCTCTGCTCTGATCAGTCTGGGGCAAGTGAAGCCGTTCCCCCCTCCCTGCTCTGAACACAGAGGCCCCTTCCCTCAAAAGCTCCACATACCACTTGGAATTCACATCCCTATCAACTTAATGCAGCATCTAAGACCTGGCTCACCACAGCTCATTGGCAAACCCACCCCAAGGAGCTCTGGAGTAACAGAACCACACATGGCCGTGGGTGCCCACAGAGTTTATTGCTGCCCCCTCAGTAGAGGCGCTGGGGCTTCCCCATGGTGCTCTTGATGTACAGAGCTCGCACGTTCTGCCAGTTCTTCTTCAGCAGGGACACCAGGAAGTTGATGGCCAGGTGGATGTTGTAGACAAGTTCATCCTCTGTCATCTTCACGTGACCGACAGCCACAGCCAGACAGAGCACCTGGGGACATACACCAGGAACAGGTTTCACGGGCAGAGCAAAGGTGCCGACCTGAACTCATCGATGTGCTGGATGTCCCATGGTCTGTCAGCTGGACACAGCTTTCCCAGCCCACCCATGGGGTTTTCCAGTGCCTGCTGCACCTGGCCTGTGGCTCCCTGTGCCTGTAGCCCCTGGATGCCACCTCTAACACACACAGAGCTGACTGGGAGAAGGTGGGAACATCACTGCCTCCCAGAGACAGCAATACTGGGAAGGACACGCGACACACTGTGCAGAGCCAGCACTGGAGCAGACCCCAAGGTTAATAACCCTGTTCCCACACCCCCTCTGCCAACAGCTGACCTGGGGACCTGCCATTGGCCCCTAACTCCACTGCCAGGCCCTGCATCAGCTTCACTTTCTGTTTTGGGCACCAGCCACCAGCTCTCTCCTCCTGCACAACAGAGGCCGAGCCTCCACCCGCCTGCCCAGCCTCCCCGAGCAGCCTGGAACTCAACACTCCCTGCAGGCTGGAGACAGGATTTATGAGCAAGCCATCAGGCCAAGTGTTGGGACATCATAAGCTGAGCTACTTCAAATGCTCAAGCAGATCCCCAGAGAGCTGCTCCCAAGTTCACTTGCAGAGTCAAGTCCCAGAATCGCCCTGGCAAAGCTCTGCTTGTGTTCAGCCCCCAGGGACGTGCCCAGCCAGGGCCAACCCTATGAGTCACCCGTGTGCTAGAAGTGTTAACTGCACTGGATTGTGCTCAGCACTGAAATATCAAATCATCTCATGATCACTTGCTTCCAGATCTGCCAATGACAGAAAAATTATTCCTCCTTTCTAACTGGCAGCAGAGGTCTCCCTTTGCTGGAGGAAACACTCGAGGGCCACCTACAGTCCATCCCAGATATAGCAGAGACACAGAAGTGCCTTGGAGAGGAAAAGCCCTGCTTTACCTTCTTCATCTGGAACTTAATGGTCGATTTGACCTCATCAACCTTAGCCACCAGGTTCTCGTTGTGGGTAAGCAGAGAAGGGAATTTCCCAGCTTTGTTCAGGCCTGGGCCCAGGATTCGAGGAATCTGCTTGATCAAGGACTCAGAAGCCAGGAAGGCATCGTACTTCTTAGCTGCAAGGAGAGAACCAGAGAGGTGAGGACAGACTCTGCTCCCACACTGAGCTCCCAGTGAGCGGCTCAGCCAAGCCTGCACAGGTCCACTTCCCCCAACAGACATTCCCATAGTCCCACCTGGACAGGGGCTGGTTTTACCAACAATCTATCAGGAATGACTGTCACAGCAACCAGACTCCAGCCCCACCCCTGACACAGACTCCGAACAGCACACAGCTCATTCCCTGAAGGAACTGTCCTTTGCTGAGCCCCAGGTGACACTGAACTCTGAGCTCTGTCAGGAGCCTCCTGCCACAGCCTGTGCACACCAGGATGGACGACCCATCTCCGAGAGGCTTAGCCAACAGCCACAGTATCCCATGTCACTTCCTAACTGCACATGGTTCCGTGGCTGATCATGGATTGAGTGTCAAGTTCTTGTCCGCCTCAGGAACGTACCAAAGTGATTCTAGAGTTCTCAGGGAAGGAAGGATTTTCTCTCCAAGAGAAGAGACAAATTTTATTCTGTTCATGTAAGACCTGCAGGACTAAATCCCACTCTTGCCTCCAGCATTTCTCTGCTTTTGCTGCACTCCAGGTCCTTGACCAGAAAATCAAGGAACACAGCAAAGGGTGAAACTCTGTGACAGGCATGTTTCCCTATGTCCCTTCCTTCCTTCTGCAGGACAACCAGCCCCACTCCTGCCGCACTGACCTGACAGACCTGCACTGCCAACAGCTTGGGGGCTTTTCTGGGCAGACTTTGGTACTCTGTTCAGCTTTCTATCCCTGGAGCTAACCATGACATGGAAATCTGAGATGAGAGAAAGCCTCCTGCTTACCCAGACCCCTCCAAAGTTGGCCAAGGTACTCAGAGCCTGACCCACACTCACCCAACTTCTTCACCAGCTTCTTGTTCTTATTGAGCTTCTTCAGAGCTTCTATGTCCATGTGCGGGATGTCAACCGCTTTGGCCTCATCGCAGTGCTGCTGGTCCCCCAACAGACAGACCGAGAACTTGGGCCGTGGCGTCGACTTCAGCCTGGGGATGGAAGGTCCGAGTCAGTGCCTTACCAGCACCGCTGCCGTGTCCCTGGAGCCAGCACGGAGACACCTTACCACAGCACGGGGCGTCCTGCACCGCCGCTCACCTGCCATCACAGCAGGCCGGTGGGGACAGCCCGGGGGGCTCCCACACCTCCCCTCATGTTTTAAGACCCAGGGTGAGGGTCCGTCCAGCCGCTCCCGCTGGGCCGGGGCGCTCTGGACTCCCCAAGCGGTTCGGCGCCGCGGCGGCCCCGGGCAGGGCCGGGCAGCGCCGAAGTCTGGGTGGGAGCGAGAGGATGGCGAACCTGACGGTGCCGGAGAACCGCTTGTCCTTCTGGGGGTCGTAGTTCTTAAGGCTGATCTGCAGCTCCACGGTCTCCACGAACCTGCGAGAGGCAGCGGGTGAGGCCCGGCCGGGTGCGGGGAGGCCGAGCGCCACACGCCCGGTCCCGCCGCGTCTGGGGCTCTTACTTGCGCTTTTTGGCGCGGCTGCCGTGCAGCACCTCCTTCACCGCTTCGTACAGGGTGTCCCGGGACACTTTGCTGCTGCGGGGGGAAACAGCAGCGCGGGCTCAGAGCAGGCCCCGCCCGAGGCGCGGCCCCGAACCCGCCCCGGCCCCCGCGCTCTCCCTCCGCCATCGACCCCACTGCCTGCGCCCCAGTGGCCGCCCGGGCAGCCCCATGGACGGGGCGGACGGGGCGGATGGCGGCGGATGCAGCGCCAGGACTGACCCACCTCATGGCGGCGGCTCCTCGGACCGAAAAGGCGGGACAACCCCCGGAGCGGTATAAATACGGGCGAGATCTCGCGAGACTTGGCCACGCGGCGCCATGGAGGGAGCGGCGGCAGCGCGGGGCCACCGTGTTGGGAGCGGTGGAGGGCACCGCCCTGCCCTGCCCGCATCTCCTTCCCTGTCAAACGAACAACCAAGGTCTCTTTGCCTCCTGTCGCGGACCACCAGGACAGGGGCTCGTCCATCGCTTCACAGTGCATCCTAGGAGCCTCTGGCTCCCCTGAGCAGCTGCCGGGAAGAAGACGGGGTGCGCCCGCTGCGTGAGGAGCGAGCTGGACGGGCTCCCCGCGGGCGGCAGTGCTGTAGAACACTGGCATTAGGCAGGTCCCGCTGGCGGCCCGCGCAGCCCCCGGCCGGGAAGGGCAAGCGGCGCCTCGCGGCTTCAGTGTTGGCACCGCGCATGCCCGCATTGGCCGCCCCGCGGCGCGCTCCCCGAGCCGGCCCGGCCCGCCCCGGAACCTGTATTGCGGACGCTGTGCGGGTGCGGGCCCGGCCGCGGTGCATGTCGGGCCGGCGGCGGACCCGGGCCCGGCGGGTGCTCAGGTCGGTGCAGGGGGGCGATGGCGGCCGGGCCTTGGGGCTGCCCCAGCCCCCGGCACCTCGCGGGGAGAGCCCCTCCTGTCCCCCGCCACCCCCGGGCCCGCCGGCCGCTCCCCTCGGGCCCTGCCCTCCCCCGGTGCCGTCGCACCGCAGCTAGTACCGGGGGCTCAGCAGTGCGGGGCCGCCGCAGCCCAGGGGGAACGAACCTCGGCAGGACCCGCTGCAGCCGCAGAGGAGCCTCAGCCGGGTGCGGGGTGAGGCGTAGTGACGGGGCTCAAAGCCGGGCTCACCTCGGGCTGCGGCCGGGACAGACCGGGCGGTCCGACTTGTTCCTGCAAATCAGACGATTAAGTATTTGGCTATCTCAGAGATGGCTCAGGAAGAACCCACTGTAGCTGCTTTGAAAGATGATCTGTCAGCAGAGAGCCTCTTTAGCAAAATATTCTTGTAGGGGCGTGGTGGTTTTAACATAATGTGCTTAGAGCCTGAAATTCTGTTTCTCAAAAGGCTGGGAATTAGTCAGGAAAGGAAGGAGAGGAGGATGCTTCCAGGGATAAAGCTCATCATCCTGCCCCTGTCTCTTGCAGTACAGGACATGCTCAGCCTGTAGGTTCAGACCTTATAGTACTTGGAAACCCTCCCTGCAGATCATTTGGAAGATGGGAAGGGCTTGAATGTGGCATTTGCACTGTCTCAAAGAAGAGTCTGTCAGTTCACTGGTGTGATTTTATATTTGTCTTTGGAACAGATTGTTAGCCCTGCCTGCCATTGGTGGGGGAAGGATGCAGCATTGTCCATCTTAATCCTTTATAACCTCAAAAGTAGTTTGAGGCCATTCAAGTCTTTCCTGGTGTGCAAAAGTGAGTGTACATCTGAGGAGAGAAAATAAAATGGAATTGTTCTTTTTACTTAAGGCTTGCAGCAAAAAGGACGGCTCAGTGTCCCCCAGGCCCCTGGCTCTGGGCCCAGTGCTCCCGGCGGGATGGAGAGTCTGGGGCTGCCAGCAATGACCCTCAGGGACGGCACCACAGCCTACCTGCAGCAGGCTGCCAGAGGTAACGGAGCCTCGGGCTGCCAGGGCTCAAAGTTTTTCTGGGGCTGAAATGAAAGACTTGCCGAAAGTGCCCTCACGGCGCATGAGCTGCCACACGTGTGTGGCCGCGTCACACGAGCAGCACAGGTGATTCTCTGTTGGATTTGAACAGAAGTCTGATATAAAATAAAACAGAAGTCAAATGTGCCTCTGGTGTGGAAATGAAGCTGTGGAGATGAGAGAGCTGTTGCTGTAGACAATAAAGGTGCTGTTCAGACCAGATGAGCCTTGTTCTCTCTGGGATCACTGGGGGAAGCAGAGCTGATGCTGTGGCTTGGAGGGCTCTGTTCCACCAAAACTTGCCTTGGGCTGAGCAGGTTTTCCCTCACTGGTGTGCACAGGGATTGGTTCACAACAGTGCTTTTCTCACTCAGAGGTGCCGATTTCAACACTTTTCCTTGCTTTGATGTGTGTGAGGTGCCCCTTCCTCCACCACCCACTGCTCCCAGAACAGGAGCACGCTGTTTCCCAGCCTGCAGAACAGGATGGATGAGCTGTGTGGCTCCATGTCCTGGGGGTTGCTCTCTTGCTTTCTTTTCTGTGAAAACTCACTGGAAGTTTATTTATATTCCACATGTGTAGAGTTGGACTGTCTTGGAACCACTGGGTTGTGTGACCCCCCCCCCCAACTTTGTGCTCCAGGTGAAACCAACCTGGATTTTACCTATTCAAGTGGGATGGAGCAATGTCCTCTCTGCATCAAATCTTTGGGCAACTCAGTCATTATTACAGGATTGCACAGAGTCAGGCTTTGTAAGATTTCAGTCTTCAGAACCCAACCCTGGCAGCATGTTAGGCCCCTTTAGGTACTGTAATTTTTTTCCAAGAGTTGATCCTCTGCCAGAGTAGAAAAAAAGAAATCTCCAGGCACTTGCTGATGCCACTCAGAGCTTGCAGTTGATTTTTTTTCTCCAGCACAAGTGTAATTGCTTTCTGCTAGATTCCAAATGCTCAGCACACAATGTTCTTTCTGCTCCTTGGCACAAACTGCTGGGAGGGGCAAGTGATGCCTAAGGGTCTTTGTTGTGTGTCCTCCTCTCTAGGAAAGGGCAGTTCTGGCATTTCTGGGAAGTGAAATGCCAGCAATCCGAGGGAAAGCTGGTCCCTAACAGCCTAGAAGTGACAGTTTCTCCCTTCTGTGGGACTGGTTTCCTTGGGAAGCACGTGGGGCAGAGGGACTGGGCTCGGCAGCGCTGATGGGATGTTATAACTGTTTCAGGTGAAAAGCTGATTGAAGGACAAGTCATTGAACTTGAAGATGGGACCACAGCTTATATCCATCAGGTGACAATTCAGAAAGGTGAGAACAATACATTCCCCTCTTTCTCTTTGGAAGGACACCGTAGATGTGGCTGCAGCTGTCAGTGCTCCAGCGCTCGGGTTCCTGTCAGCTCCAGCTCTCGCAAGTCCAGGGTTTGTGTAGGGCTTTTTTTGCTCGTGGTTTTGAGGCTAAATAAACAAGGGCATAGAATATGTGATTTCCTGCAAAGTTTTCAGCAATCTGTCAAGAAGATCAGTTTGGTGGAGGTGTCGTTTCACCTGTGGGCTCTCCCTCCCCATTGTCAGTCTGACAGACCACAAGCCCAGTGAGCTGTGTGCTGTTCCCACACAGACTTTGTTTCATGTGGGAGCAGTTGGACGAGAATTTCCTCTGAACTATGAGATAATATATTACTTTTGGAATAGGTGTTGGTGAAGGGCAGGTGGGGATTGTTGGAAGCAACACCACCTTGGTCATTGACCCATCGGCCAATGTCACCTCCAAAGTGATATGACATTAATCTGAGAGGTGATAGGAATTCATTTCATGTGGCAGGCAGCAGAGTGGCCCAGACCCAGGCCCCTCCCTGACCATGCTAAGATGCAAAAGGGCAGGTAGAAAGAGCTCAGTTGCTTTGGGCAGTCTTTCTTTACCCTCCCAAGCCTCTTGTGTGCCATCTCCCTCTTCTAATCTCAAAAGGTTGCTTGAAACCCACTTTTTATGCCTTTCCCCCCTTCATCCTCTTCACTGCCTCGACACGCAGTGAGAAGGGTTTTCCTTCTCATCCCTTCTTCCTCTGCCATGGGATGTTTGTGTTCTTTCACACACCCCTGTGCCAGAACCATCCTTCTTGTCTGGGATATAATCTGGCATTTTGAAACTGGGAAGGCACTGCACTAATGCTTTGAGCTAAGAAAGTGGCGAATCTGTGCATGAAGCCTTGAAAAATCTCATAATTCACATCAGAAGGGTTCAAATGGTGTCTTAAAACCTACAGTTGTGGTTGCCTTCCAGGGCAAGCAGGAGCCCTGTGTCCTCTCCTGGGAGCCTTAATGCTGTAGGGTTCAGGAACTGCCACAGTATTCTCTCCATCCTTAGTCCTCCAGGAAAGTGTGTGGATGTTTCACTTCTCTTTTAGAGTCTGTGGCTTTGGAAGACGGTCAGCCAGTGGTGCTGGAAGATGGCAGCATGGCCTACATACACAGCACAGCTAAAGGTAAAGTGCTCCCTGCTCTTCACTTGGCAGCTGGAGCAGAAGCTGCTATAGTGTCCTAGATTTCCAGGGCTGTGGGTGACTGGGGAGGTGGAGCACTCTTCTGCCTCGCACTCAGCAGCTCTTTACATTCGATGTAATTGGTTTCCTCTTCCAGACAGTTACGATCCTGGCACCTTCCAGGCCATCCAGGTGCGGGACGGCTCCACTGCCTACGTCCACCGTCCTGTCATCGTAGCAGCTGGCAGCACCATCCTGGAAGTGCAGACAGGAACTGGGCTCGAGGAGTTAGCTGGGGAGGAGGAAGATGATGCCTTTGGTGTGGAGACCATGAATGCATTACAGCAGTACAGCAGTAAGGTGAGGGCACAGCGCTGCTCCCGGGGTCTGCCAGCAGCACCGCGGGTTGGGGGCCACGCTTGGCCCTCCCTTCAGCAGTACTTGTGTATATCTGTCTTTCAGCAGTGCCAGCTGTGAGAGAAGCAGCTGGACAGGGCTCCAGGGCAAGTGCCACCACTGATGGGTGGCTGGCAGTTAGGGGCCCAGAATGGGGCCATTTGGTCTCATGGAGTGCTGGGCCTGCCACCCTTAACATGCTACAGGCTTGGATTTGGAAGAGAGGAGAGCTGCTGTGATACAGCCTTTGGCATGTCAGCAGTGGCTAAACTATGGCCACTGTCCCCATGGTGACAAAGACCTCAAAAAAACAAAACAGCTTTCGATCCTGATGCGTTGTCACTGCAGTGTCCCACCTGAACATCCTGGGTGCTGCCGTTTTCTCCCATCTGCAGAGCGTTGTGGAGAGGGGGCTGCTGCCAGCAGTGTGCTGGCAATGCTCAGCTGGGCACAGACCTTCTTGCCATGGCAGGCCCAGTCCCAGCTCTCTGCAGAAGGGCAGGGTGGCACTGGCTGTCATTGTCTTCCTGCTTGGGTTGCTCTCGTGCTCCACACTGCACAGGGAGGCACAAAGAGTGCTATGCTTCTTCACCCACAGGGGTCTGACAAGGAAGAGGAGGGAGTGACAGACACCTGCCGTGTGAACCGTATGGACTCCAGCAACGTCCCTTCTCAGGTCTGAATTTTTCAGTGACTGGAACTAGGCCGAACTCCTCTTTGCCAGCGAATAATTAAAAAAGCGTTGGTGGCTTCTCTGCCGAGTTAGCAAATAGTAAGTGCACACTTCACAAATGAGCTGAGCAAAGCCCAGAGAGGGAGTTAGGTGTCTGAGAACCCCCAGTGAGCTGGGAGGTGGGAGTGGGAAATGCAGGTTTGTGGAGCCCTGTCACCTGGGCTGCACCATGTGGGTACAAGCTTGTTTGTAGGAACATGTTTTTGGAGGATAACTGCAGGAGTGCATATGTATGGCAAGGAGGGAAATATTTGTGTGGGCTTGGTGAAGCCTGCTGTGGTGGCTTGCTGATTAGTTCCTGTACTTGTCTTGGCAGGATTTGCAGGAGGAGGAGGTGCACAGCCATGGGAAGGGGCAGCAGGTCAGCAGCAGAGCTTTCCCCTGTGGGTACAAAGGCTGTGGCCGCCTCTACACCACTGCCCACCACCGCAAGGTAAAGCAGGTGACATGGCAATGTGCAGGCCAGACCTATCCCAGGTTACAGTGCCAGGGTTCTGCATTCTGTGCAGCTGTTTTCCTTCCTCCTTGCCTTGGTCCTCATTTTAATGACCCGTTCTTCCTTTTCCAGGTACATGAACGTGCTCACACAGGTGACCGGCCATATACATGTGACTTCCCAAGTTGTGGGAAAGCATTTGCTACAGGTAACAGCTTCTCTTTTGAGAAGATTTTGCTTTCTGTCCAACCCAAAATGCTGTTGAACCTCAGCCCTGGCTCTGGTCCAGCAGAGCACAATGTCCAGAGCATCTAAAGCCTTCTGTAAGGGAACTACAGCATGGGAGCCTGCAGGACTTGATTGATTGTAGTAAGATAATGGTGGAAGTAGGGTTGAAAGTAGTGTTGGGGGCCATTTGGATATTTTTTCCCCCTTAGCTTTGGAGACACAGGACAGACACTCAAAACATGAACTGGGGGGTGGTACACAGCTTATCGTGGCGTCTCCTTTTTGTTACAAAATTAATTGTGGTTTCTGTCCTGAACAGGGTATGGGCTGAAGAGCCACATGAGAATACACACTGGTGAGAAACCATACAAGTGTCCAGAAGATATGTGTAGCAAAGCCTTCAGAACCTCTGGGGATCTACAGAAACACATCCGCACACACACAGGTGAGCAGCACAGGGGGAGAACTGCACTGCCAGTGAAAGGCTCTCCAGGGCATTCCAGGTAGCTGCATGGTAGCAGGGCTCATTCACATCACTCTGTCAATGCAGGTGAGCGTCCCTTCAAGTGCCCCTTCGTGGGCTGTGGCCGCTCCTTTACCACCTCCAACATCCGCAAGGTTCACGTCCGGACGCACACGGGCGAGCGGCCGTACACGTGTCCAGAGCCCGGCTGCGGGAGGGGCTTCACCAGCGCCACCAACTACAAGAACCACATGAGAATCCACACAGGTAGGAGGCGGCCAGCTCCTCCCAGCCAGCAGCAGGGAGGTCTGTGGGGCTGCGAGGGGCATTTCCAGGCATTGCAGGAGTAGATCTGGGGGTGGCCAGGGAGTTAAAGCAAATAGTGGGAATTGCTTTGCTGGGTTGATTATTGTTCCACTGGTCCACCTCCAGCTATTTGCTCTGGTGGGGAATCCCTCCCTGGAGCATGAGGAGAGCGAGTGGGTGAAGCTGTGCTCTGTGGCCTCTGCCCTAGGAGAGAAGCCATACCTGTGCACTGTGCCAGGCTGTGGGAAGCGCTTCACGGAGTACTCCAGCCTCTACAAGCACCACGTGGTGCACACGCACTGCAAGCCCTACACCTGCAGCAGTTGTGGGAAGACGTACCGCCAGACCTCCACGCTGGCCATGCACAAGCGCAGCAGCCACGGCGAGCTGGAGGCCACGGAGGACAGTGAGTGGGCCCTCTTTGAGCGGCTGCGGCTGGAGGGTGAGCCCCCACTCCCCCATCACCTGCAGCAGGCTCAGGTCAGGTACAGCAGAGGGGGGAGAGGTGACAGCAAGAGCCTGCAGCTGCTCCCCTCTCAGACCCAGGTCTGTGCCATGGCCTCCTGCCTCCCTGTCAAATCCAGATCTGTGTTTGATGGTCCTTGCTGTAAGTCACAGGTTGGGAGCAGGCCCCTGCCCATTCTATAGTACAGGGAGAGGTAAAGGCCCTTCTTACCAGGCCATCACTGGGTTGGTGTCATCGTGATCTTGTGCTCTTCTGTGCTGGCCCTTGAGGCCACAGGCAGGTCCTGGGGCCCAGCATGTGCTTTCATGTTCTGATAACGCTGCTCTTCCTCTTCCCTGACCCAGTTGCTGCTGCTGACAGAGGCTGCCCCCTGAAGAGCCATCATATTGCTTTCCTGTCGGAGATGGAGAAAGATGAAAAAGATGATGTTGTGCCTACACAGGTCTCACTTATCTCTCAGGATGGAACAGAGCAGGTACAGACACTGACAGCCTCCAGCACATCAGGGACAGCAGTTATTATGTGAAGTGAGATTCTGCCTCTACCCAGCTGCAGTGTTCTCTTCAGGGCCTTTTTTCAGCATAAAACAGACCCTGGGGCTCCATGGGCTCTGCCTGCTCCGAGGGCTCCCTCCTACAGCCTCACTCACTGCTGTAGTCTTGGTTTGAGGGTGTCTCTGATCCAGCAGGGAGGGTGCCTCTCCCTGCTGATGGGGTCTCCAGGTGTTTGCCCAGGCTTGTGTGCAGTGCCTGTCAGTCCTCAGCTCCCAGCAGCTCCCAAGATCTGCTGACATAGGCTGGATTTGGAGATGTTTTGTCATCATTTGTATGCAGCAGTGCTTTTCTTGTGCTTCCCTCCACCAGCTGCCCATGTGCTGAGTGGAAAAAACTCCCTTTTGTGGTACAGGGCAAAGGAAGCAGCTGCCAAAAGTGACTGTTTCCTCTTAGCCTGAGATGCTTCTGCTGCCACAATGCACAAGCTGTCCTGTACAGTCTGGAAGGAAGAGGCTGAGTGGGGAGGGGAGCTGTGGTACGAGCAGGGAGGGCTGGAGACCCAAGCTCTGAGTTCTCTGTCATCAATTCTGTCCATGACCCTGGGCAAAGTCCTTGGAGTTCTCTGTGCCCTGGGTCTTGCAGCGAGACTGTTTCATCCTTGCCCAGGCCTTTGCATTGCTAAACTAGAGAGTTGTCTAAGACTCCCTGAGCATCCGCTGTCATCCCCCAGGTCAGTCTGTCGCAGGAAGAGCTGCGGGCCCTGGGCAGTGCCATCAGTGTGGTGCCATGCCCAAGGGAGAGCTGGCGGGTGACACTCACACCGTGACTGTGGCCAACACTGACGGCACCGAGACACGGGGGGTACAGACAAAACTGGGACCTTTCCTGTTCTCTGCTAGAAAGGAGCTGCATTTTCTTTTAAAACATGATTGTTTTTTATCTGGTTTTCCTAGGTGACCGTAGTCGCTTCTGGGGCAGTCGTGTCAGAGGAATCCGCTGTTGCCCCTCTCCATCATCAGCAGGTGGCATTGCTGGCCACTGCCCACGGCACCCACATCACTGTGCAGGTACCACACGGCTCCTGCCATGCACCCCTTTGCTCCCCAGCCACCTACTGCCCACAGCACTTGTCCTCTTGCCCTGCTGCATTGCTGCTTGCCCAGAGGGCTTGCTTCTTAATTCCCAGATGCCCTGCATACAGAGGACAGCACAGGGACGTGCTCCTGAGATTGCAGAATGCTCTTGTGTAAGCAGCCTTTCTGCATCACAGCCACATCTGCCCCTCTGCTTCACACCTCTGTCACCGCCCCCTTGCCCCTCTGTCCTTCTGGGGGCTGCCCTGAGATGCCTTTCAGGGGTTCAGCACTCACTATCTCTCTCCCTTGCCTTCCCCAGCTGGAAGAGCAGCAGAGCCTGGAGGAAGGCGTCAGCATGGCTGCAGCAGTAATCCACTGTGGACCGGTGATGTCTGACACAGCTGTATCTGAGAAAGGGAGCTGAGGTCGGCAGAGCTGCTGGGGCAGGGGGAGAGGAGCCCTGGCCTGTCATGGGCGGGGGCAGTGGGTGCTGCAGGGGGACACGGGGCAGGGACGGTGTCTGAGCCAGCACCTGCCCCGTGCGGGCTGGGAGGGCTGACACGGCAGTGTGAGGCTGCTGAACTGACCCAGTGCAAAGGGCTCTTCTCTCCAAGGAGGGAGGGCAAAGATACTGGACTGCTGCCTTCTCCTGGAGGCTCTGCTGGAGCTTCTCCTGGGCTCTGAGCAGCAGCCCTGTTTTCAGAGAGGCACTTCCTGCCCTCTACTTCTAGGAATAGTCCAAGAGCTCCCCTTTCTTGTCCACCCCTCCAGCTCAGGGACAAGTGGGCAGCATGTGTATGGAAGCAACAAAGGCCCATCAAAGCAAGCCCAGGCTGTCCTGGGCTCGATGTCGAGGGTGACCAGTTCCTGCCATTGGAGCCAGCGCTCTGACAGCAGTTCTCCCATCTCTTTGTCACACTCCACTCTCAAACAAGCTTCCGTGGCTGACTCCTTGGCTGCAGAGCAGAGCAGCCTGCACTTCTCGAGGGCTGAGCTAGACCTGAATGTAAATGTTGAGTTGAAATAAAAACAAATTAACAATGTTGTTTTTAAAAGCAGCCCCCTTCTCTCTGGTGGAGGCTGGGAGGAGGTGATCGATGTTACTGTTTTGCAGCTGTAGGGATTAAAGAAATTGAGGAGATTTGTGGAATTGACCGACTGTGTCCTGCCAAAGCAGCGACTGTCCCAGAGGAGGGCAGGGAGCAGGGTGAGCTGTACCCTCTGAGCCCCCACCGTGTGGCTTGGGGGGGCTAAAAGGTGTCTCTGAAATCTCAGATCAGGTTTTGGCTCTTCCAGGGACCCCTGCATGCCCAGATTTACGGAACTGTGTCAGTGAACACATCTTACAGGCCCCTGAGCTGGGGAGAGAGGCTTGGGCAGGTGCCCTCAGCCCTTCCACTGCCCCAGGCACTGAGCAGACAGAGCCAGCACGGGAAGCACCACTGAACCATTTTGGCTGGAAAAGACCTTTGAGATCGTTGAGTCCAGCTGTAAACCTGAGCTCAGTGCAGGCTCCCGGCAGTCAGGTGGATTATTTTCTGGACGTCCCCGAGGAGTTTGCAGAGGAACAGGTTTCTGCGGGCACAGAATGGGCACAACCCTGGAGGGTGCAGCACGCTGGGTCTCCCCACACCGGCCCTGATGCGATTGATCGCAAAACAAGGAGAGCTGGAGCCGTTCCAAAGCGCAGCCCGTGCGCCCGCTGCCAGGGGAAGCTCTGCGTCTCAGTCCCGGGAGGGGAAGCTGCTGCTGCTTGAGCCAGGGAGGAGATTTCTCTCCCCAGAGCGCAAATGCCGACGGAGCGTTTGATGTGTGTGCCGAGCCGAGCGCAGGGTCCGTGAGCCCCGGCGGCGCGGGGAGCGGAGCGGCAGCGATGGGGGTGCCCGGGGAGCCCCCGCCCCGCGTCCCGCCCGCCCGGGCGGCGTCCAGGAACCGGATCCGCGGGCTCGGCAGAGCCGCCGGCAGCCATGGACCTGCGAGCGGAGCTGCTCAAGTCCATCTGGTACGCCTTCACCGCCCTGGACGTGGAGAAGAGCGGCAAGGTCTCCAAATCCCAGCTCAAAGTGAGTTCCCGGGGGGCTCGGCTGGAGGGTGGGCGGCGAGGGGCAGAGCAGGTCCAGGGCTCTTTGCATCCCCCACCTTTCCACGGAGGAATTGTTAAATACTGAGATCAGTAAGACCTTGCTGTTGCCTCCGTAGTGGTTCTGGTGAAGTTCTCAAGCTCTGCATCATCTCCCTTTAAAAAAAAAAAAAAAAAAAGAGGGAGAGGTGGGAGTTCATGATCAAGTATGTTTTCTAGGTGAAAATGAGGAGAAATCTAGCTTTTAGTTCTTTACAGTTTCTTACATTTTTTTATGGCCAACTAACAACCCAAACTCAGTTTATATTTTCTTGCTTGCCAGAGCACCTGCATTTCTGCTTCCTGCTGAGCCAGTGGGTCGGGAGGTAGGGGCAGCTTGTTTTTAAACTAAAACTCCACAGTGGTGTGGCCAGAAATAATAAGGCGTTTTTAAAAACTCTCTGCTTTCCCCTCTCCCCCTGCTTAGCAGCTTTCAGAGGGCTCTTGCCCTTAGCCCTTCATCAAACCCATCAGAGCTTTAAAAATCTTTTTGCCTGCCCCCAGGCCGTGGTTGGTCGAACCCGCCAGGGAGCCCTTGGCTTCGACAGTAATTACTGATTTTTTTTTTTACTTTGCAAATGGTGGGCCTCATTTTTGTTGCCATGTGAACGTTCTCATGGTTCTTAGGCTGGCACCAGGGTTGGAAATGCTGGTCAGCATCAGAGGCTGAGATGAGAGGAGAGACCTGAGCAGAAGAATGCCACAGGCACAGGGAAGTGTTGCGTCAGGACTTGGCAGCTGCTGCCAGTTTCGAGACCAGTTGTGAAGTGCTGCAAAGAAAGCTCTTTTCCACTATTTCCTCTATTTTATAGGGTTTCCCCGGGGACAGACTGCAGGGAAGGTGCTGCGCTTGGTGGGGAGGCATGTTTTGCCCCAAAATTAAGAGTTTGTTTGCAGGAATCTGGAGGAAAAGTAGCAGGAGTCAAATGACTCCTGCTCAGCCATTGCTTTTGCAGCAAAGAGCCTTCTGCTGCTCCCCAGAACTTATAGCATGTGTCCTGCGAGCCACACTCACCTGCTAAAACTGTAGAAATAGCTGAAGGAATTAAGGAAAATCCCAGAGTAGACCAGAGCTTAATTCCCTCTGCTAATCCCTGAGAGGGGTTGCTGTGCCCCCCTCACAGCATCCCCTGCACCCATGCTCGGGGTCTGGAGCCCAGCCCACGCGTGTGATGGACCTGAAAGCGCCAGTGTGAACACGTGCAGTGCTTGTCTTGAGAGATCTTTATCACCAGATATGATGCTGAGGCCACAGAAACCCTCAATTTATGGCAATTTCCTAGAGAGTTTGTGCAAGGGGGGACAGGGGCTGCAAACCCTCATGTAGGGGCTGCGGGGATGCTGGGGATGGTGTGTCCATAGCAGCTTTACCCAGAGGGGAAGGGAACTTTCCTCCTTGCTGTTCTCCCCCAGCCTTCAGTGACAGGACAGGTTGGTGGTGGGTTAAGCTGCACCGTTGAATGATGAAGCTCAATTCTGGATGACTTTCCACCTGCCTCCAGGCCTGGGAAAGCTCATTTCCATCCCCAAATATGCTCAGGTTTGCCCCAGCCTACCCAGGCCAGCAGCAGCGTTTTTGTCCGTTCAGTGCAGAAGGAATCCGAGGTCTTGCAGGTCTGATTAATAACATGTTGAAGCCACAGTGGCTGAGCACTCTCCAGACCCCTCCTGAGCTGTGCTCTGCTCCCTCACCTGGCTGTGTTGCTGCGTGAAGGGTCTTGAACAAGGGTGGGAGAAGCAGCGGTGTTCACAGGGTTTGCACCTGCAGAAAGGAAGCAGTCCCAGAACTGGGTGGGATTGTGCTGGCAGATGGGCAGTGTCCCAGCGGGAGCTGGGGCTGAACTCCAGCCTCGCTCCAGCCAGTTGCTGGAAACATATTGGGGTTTCCAGTGTGATGGTGCAGCTGTGGGAGCCGTTGGGCTCCTTGCAGGGGCACTTCTCCGCAGGCGAGTGTGTGCAGACACTGTGAGTGTGGGTGTGTGCACAGGAAGGAAGGGCAGCTTGCGGTGGAGTGCTGCGCACCGAGCGAGGTCGGGTAGTTTTGTTCCCAGCGCAGGCACACGCCAGCCCTGCTCTTGGAAAAGGATTTATCCTCTCGGTGCCATTGCATCCTCCCTGGCTGAGCAGAGGGAGCTGCTCCCTGTCTCTGCGGATGCGGGCTGGGATGTGGGGTGCGTGCCTTCAGTGTGGCTGTGCGTGGCTGGAGCAGGAGGTGGGAGCCACCGAGCACTGTCCTGGTGCTTTTCAGCACCTCTGTTCACAGGTGATGGGGATCGTGACAGTGGCTCCCCACTGTCATTTTTTTCCCCTCCAGTCTCTGTTTCAGAGCCCGGGAATGTTTCCCACCTCTGCTCTGTCCAGTCACCCCACAGTCGGCCAGGCTGGGGCTTTCCTCCCAGTTTGTCCAGTGGCGGCTCTGCGAGTGGAGGGGTCACGGTGTGCCAAGGTGGACACAGGGGCTTGGGATTCCCATCATGGAGGGGGGCACGTGTGAAACCTCCCAGGGCTTTTTAGGGATGCTGTGAGAGGTGTGAGGGATGGGGACGAGGGCCCACATTGGAAACAGGGAACAGGATGCGATTCCCGAAGTTTCAGTCTATCCTGATGGATTTGTTAGCCTTCAGGACATCCTGAAGGATGTCCTGGGTGTTCCCAACCCTTTCCAGTCCTGTGCAGACCCCAGGGCTGCACCAACCCCAAAAGGTGAAGCTGTAGCAACAGTGCTCAGGGCTGTGTGAGCACAGGGCGGAGTCCTGCTGATCCCATCAGTCTGGAGGGTGGAAAAGAGAAAGAAAATCTGGTTGAGCAAGAACCATCTCCAGCTGCAGCAGCCCAGCATGGCCTCTGGCTCCTCTCCTGGTGGGAGGAAATTTCCAGCCCTGCACAGAGGAGTAGGGATGCTGTACCCTCTCCTCCAGGCCCTCTCTTGAACCCTTGGCCAGCTGCATCCGCAGATCCTGGTGCAATGGGGTGGCGTCAGTCTGGGATGCTCATTTAGTCATCTCCTACTTCTGGGAGGCAGAGGCAAGGAGAGCACTGCCTGCCTGGCATCACAAGCTGGAGATGCTGGTGATGCTCGTGGACAGCCTTGCTTTGAGCTTTCTAGCACATGGGAAATTTGGGAGCTTCCAAACACCCTTTGTTTTGTGGAATTTGAACAAAAACGGGCTGTTGGTGAGACTCATGGAGTCTCATTTCTGCAGATGGTACATCTTCAGATCTCCATTGTCTGCTCCCATTCCAGACAAAACTTTTTCTTAGTTTCTTATAAATCTTTTCTATTTTCATGTTTCCATCTTTCTGTGCCCCCTGGCAGACACCACTGCTGCCAGGCTGGGCCATGGTTGTACCAAACACGTGGCTTGGGGTAGCTTATCAGCTTTTCTAGATCAGAGCAAGTCCTGTTTTCTCTGAGAGGTTTGAAACAAGCTCTTTTAAAAAAAAAGTTCCTGATGTGCAAAGAAAAGTAACTAATGTGGAAAAATCCTTAATTTTTGCCTGTTTCTAAATGATTCTATAAGGTTTTCACTTGGGAATGATGCCCCATCCTCTGCCAAATTCAAACTCTGCCTCAATGCTGTGGCTGCAGGGAGGTCACAGGGCATAGTGGGTATGGGGGTGGCACCACAGAGGTGTGCTGGGGCAGGGCTGGAGGTTGTTCACCTTCTCACCATCCCTCCTGCTTGGCCAGGTGCTGTCTCACAACCTGTACACAGTGCTGTGCATCCCTCACGATCCCGTGGCACTGGAAGAGCATTTCCGTGATGACGATGATGGGCCAGTGTCCAGCCAGGGCTACATGCCATACCTGAACAAGTACATCCTGGATAAGGTGAGCCCCTTGGCCTTGGAAGGGGGGACACAGTGGTGCCTGCTCCTGCATCACATGCCCAATGGCTCTGCTCCCCACAGCCCACAGGAGGTCACATGCCTTGATGGGTGGAAAAAGAGTGCAGAGAGATGGGGAGCACTCAGGTGAATACCAAAACAAGTGAGAAACGTTTAATTCTCAATGTCTCCTTGGCAAGGATGAAGTCAGCCCTTTCCATCAAGGCTCTGGATGCAGCAGTATCTCTGCCCATGTTTCCTGCAGGGCGCAGAGAGAGAAACTGGCCACTTTTTCCTCTCTAACCCTGTTCAAATTTGGAGTGTGACGTCATTTGGCAAAGAGGAGAGGGAGGAGGATGACATGCCAGGACAGGAGGAGAGTTGGGGTGGGCATGGGCTTTCTCCCTTTTTTCAGTAATTTAAATGCACCTTTGTCTAGTACAGCCACCAGTTTGTCCATGGGTGCTGTTTCCTCCAAGCATGCAGGGACTGGCAGCTTTCTTCCACTGTGTGCTCACAGAAGGGGGCCAGAGCTGGGTGCAGTAACCCTTCGTTCCCCTGGCTCTCCTGGCAGGTCTGTGTGGGTCTCCATGCCCATCTTTGCCTTGCCTGGAGCTGGTCAGGAGCTGCCCAGTCTGGTCCAGCAAAGCTGATCTTGGCTGCGGGGATCTGGTCTGCAGCGAGCGAGGGCAGAGGCTTCCCCAGCTCCCTCTGCCCAGGGCAAGAGCTGCCCAAGGTCAGCCCAGCCCAATCTCCCCATCACAAAGTGGCCAAAATCCTTCTAGTTTCCCATGTGGTTCTTTGGGAGATGATCTTTAAAGCCCCTTCTTCTGATTCACCATGGTTAATAAAATCCCAGAAGCAGCCTGAGAAGGGGAAGTGGGTTTTCCTAGTAAGACAGGCTTTTAGCTTTTGCTACCCACCCAAAGGTTTTCCTCCAGCTCTACTGCTGCAGTTTCCTCCTGTGCTGGCAGCATGTGGCTCCTACAGCTGGGATGGAGCACCCAGGGACAGCCGAGGCTCCTCACACATCACAGTTCACCCATCTTCACCAAACCTGCTGTGTGGGGCTGCTTGCAGTGCCAGGACGTGGTTACAGAAGCTCACAGACAGCAGTGGGGCCGAGGCTGGTGGAGGCATCGTTCCTGCCTCCACTGCTGCCTGCCCTCAGGCCAGCACTTCCCTTCGCTCCCCAGTTCCTCTTTATGGTGGAATGGGATAAAAAGAGACCCGAAGCTGTGGAGGCACTGGGGAGGTTGAAGAGCACCACACTGCTGCATGTGCTGCACCACAGGGTTTCTGCTGGTGCTCCAAATCACCCTGTGCTTCTCACTGGCAGGGACAAGAGATTTTAGGAGTGAGAGTTTCTTCCCGCTAGCACTTCCCCTTCAGAACCCCTCTCCATAGCCCTGCAGCTCCCTGCTCACCCTCAACTCCTGCCCACAGGTGGAGGAAGGTGCTTTTGTCAAAGAAAACTTCGATGAGCTCTGCTGGACCCTCACAGCAAAGAAGAACTACAAACCTGACCGGAATGGGAATAGCGTTGTGTCCCACCAAGATGCTTTCAAGCTCTGGTGTCTCTTCAACTTTCTGTCTGAAGACAAATACCCTCTTGTCATGGTGCCAGATGAGGTAGGACTGCCTCTCCTCCCATCCCTGTCCTCCCAGGGCTCCGTGCTCTGGCAGAGCCCTCTTTGGGGGTAACACATCCTGCTATCGCTTCCTGGCACGTCCCACCACATCCTGCAAGATGTGGTGCTCCAGAGGGTGAGAGAGAGCAGGAAAGAGGTGGGAGGAGGGGGGCCTGCTATGCCCACAGCCACCCCCTCTGCCCACGGAGAAGAGAGTGACTTGGGAGCATCTGGGAGGACCCCTCCAAAGTGCTGGAGCCTCTCTCACGTAGAGGGCAGTGGCAGAGCAGAGCTGTCTGTCCCTCTCTGTGGCCGCTGCCACTGGGCGCTCAGCCCCTGCCCGGCATCCAGAGCATTAAGGGTGAGGTACCAGCCAAAGCAAAGCCTCTGGCAGTAATCTCCAAATCTCCAAATTCCACAGAATTTAGTGGGGGAGGTTCTCCCTTCTCCAGGGTCAGATGAAAGCCCCATGAGAAGGGGGGCAGATCTGGGGAGGAGGCACAAGCATAGAAGCCAAGAACAGGCATCAGCAGAAGGAACTTAGCTGGGCAAGCAACTGCTGTTGGCTTCTACCCCATCAACATCCTGAGATCAGCAGAAAAGTCAAAAAAACCCTCCAAAAAACAAGAGGACAAAAAAAAAGGCAAGAAGGGCCGTGCTGCGCAGACGTAGGAGGGCAACCACACTTCCTGCACCCTGCAAGAGGTGTTTCCTGTTCCCCAGACCATGACAAACTGAATCATCCTTCTGCTTACGGGGCTGAGCAAGCGCATTCACTGCTTGCCCTTCTCCTAGTTAAATGACATTAAAAATCCAGCTGGGGGGGGGAACCCTGCTGTGTGTCACCTTCCTGTGTGGCTCCCTGCAGTCACCCACCTGCCTCAATCCCCAGATCGTGGGCAGAGGAGAGCTGGCAGCAAAACTTAAGCTGAAATAAGTCTTCCCCACATCATGTCAACCATCTTGGCTCTTTTTAGAAACACTTTACTTGCAGTTTCAAAACGATGCTCATCTCATTTGGGACCTGTCCCCTTGCTCCTCCCAGTGATTTTGGAAATCAAAGTGGTGCTGAGCTCAGGGCTGTGCTCTGAGACACCGACCTTGCAGGCTGTGTGTGGGGTCCAGCAGTGCTGGCCTGTTCTCCCTTAGGCTCTTGGCTGCTGCAGAGTTTTCTTACTCTGCAGACAAACCAGCCAAAACATCTCAGCCTCGGGGTTAAAAAGGAAAAACCTCCCAATAGTGGTCAAGCTCTAACCCAGTGCCAACCTCCTGAGCCAGCCTGCTGCCTAGAATGCCTTGGCCATGACCTCAGCCATTGCAACCTCTGGGATCAGGGTCCTGCATCTCCAGGCTGGAAAGAGAGGTGGTCCTGGGCTCTCCAAAAGGGGTCGGTGGGGTGGGAACAGCTCTCACTTCCCCACATCCCTGAGTTTCCCCATCCCCACAGGTGGAGTACCTGCTGAAGAAGATCTGTACGGCCATGAACGTGGAGCTGAACTCCTGTGAGCTGGATGAATACCTGTCCCAGGAGCCGCAGGGGCAAGAGGGGCTGACGGTCTGGCAGTTCCTAGACATGGTGAACTCAGGGAGGTTCCTGCGAGGCATCGAGCAGGAGGCCATCAGCATGGCCGTGGAGGAGGTGTACCAGGAGGTCATCGAGGATGTGCTCAAACAGGCAAGGAGCCCCCATGTCCTGGGGCACAAGCCCTGTCCTGCCCCATCCCCAGTTTTGATCTCTGTCTCTCGTGTACAGGGATACCTCTGGAAGAGGGGCCAGCTGAGGAGGAACTGGTCAGAGCGGTGGTTCATGCTGAAGCCCAGTGTCCTGTCCTACTACATGAGCGAGGAACGGAAGGAGAAAAAGGGGAGCATTGCATTGGACAAGCACTGCTGTGTGGAGGTACAGCCAGGGCCACTCGTCAGCCTGGGGACAGGAGACCTGGGAGATCCCCTTCAGACCCCAAGAAGGCAGACCCAAGAACACACAGTTTTACATCCAGGAGCACTGGAGCCAGGGGGATGAGGTGGGGTACGAGGGTAACGCCGTCCTGTGTCCTCACCCTGCAGGTGCTGCCTGACCGGGATGGGAAGAGGTGCATGTTCTGCGTGAAGACCTCCTCCCGCACCTACGAGATGAGCGCCTCCGACACCCGGCAGCGCCAGGAGTGGACACTCGGTCTGTGCCCACCCCACACCCCTTCCCCAGCTTCCCCGTGCCCCCCTCCATGTCCCCACTGACTGTGGCCTCCCTCTCCAGCCATCCAGACGGCTATCCGGCTGCAGGCTGAGGGAAAGAAATCCCTGCACAAGGACCTGAAGCAGAAGCGACGGGAGCAGCGGGACCAGCGGGACCAGCGGAAGGCAGCCAAGGAGGAGGAGACACAGCGGCTCAAGCAGCTGCAGGAGGAGAAGGAGAGGAAGCTACAGGAGCTGGAACTGCTCAAGGAGGCCCAGCGGCAGGCAGAGATCCTGCTGCAGGAGGAGGAGCAGCGGCGGAGGCAGCAGCACGAGGAGATGCAGAGGACCCTGGAGATCCAGCTGCGGGAAGCTGAGCAGGTGGGTGCACCCTGTGGAGAGTCCTGCCAGGGCTTCGTTGCTCATGGGTTGGGTGCTTCCTTCTCCTTCCCTTCCCTGGGGCAGCCTTTGGACAGGCCTGAGATTCCTGGAGAGCAGGAGATGGGGACAACCTGCCCCAAGGGTATGTAGAGGGGCAGTGAGAGACAAGTGCTGGTGCCAGGCTGGCCAGGGAGCCCATTTCTGACCTCACAGCCCGCACTGGCTCCAAATGATGCAGCCTGTCTCCTGAGCAGGGAAACAGCTTTGCTTTGGACCACTTGCCATGGGCTCTCCCTGTTTTGGGAGATGTCTGGCATACACTGGGATGCAGGACTAAGGGGTTCTGGAGAACAGTGGTGGTGGCCCAGCCAGCCGCCCACGCTGACGGCTCCTGTCCCCCCGGCAGGCTCGTGCCTCCATGCAGGCAGAGATGGTCCTGAAGGAGGCAGAGGCAGAGCGTCAGCGCAAGCGCATCCTGGAGCTGGAGGCCATGCAGGAGCGGCTCCAGGAGGCCCTGCAGCAGGAGGTGAAAGCACGGCAGGATGAGGAAGCCGTGAGATACGCGCAGGCCAGGTAGGACCGGGGCATCCCTCCCCCTCCTCAACCAGCCCCGCTCCCAGGGCAGCAACTGTGCATGGGAATGTGCTCCCTAGGGCAGCTCAATTCTCCTGGGTACTGAGGTGTGCTGGTGACTTCCCAGTATGCTGGCAGGGACGCGGGAAGATGGTGGATGAAGTGGCAGCGGGACATTCTCACCTCTTGCTCTTCATTGTCAGGCTACTGGCTGAGGAAGAGGAGAAACTGAAGCAGCTGATGAAGCTGAAGGAGGAGCAAGAGGAATATATCATCAAAACTCAGCGGGAGAAGCAAGTCCTCAAGCAGGAGATGGAGAACAAGAACAAATGTCTGGAAGAGGCACAGAAGCAGCTGGAAGAAGTGAGAGTGAACAGACAGCGGGTGGACCAAGACGTCATGGTGAGCATCACATCAGTGCCACATCCCTTCATGTGGTGAGCCCCAGGGGACTTCCCAGCAGCTTTGGGAATCAAGGTGCATTGCCTCGGGGGTTTCTGAGCTGTGCCATGTGCAGGCACGGGGTGCTGCAGTGGCTGAGACAGGACAAGCATGTCCTGCCCCATGGAGACAGCCCTGTGTCCAAAGTGATGTCAACAGTGGGAGTGTGTGGAGGGGTAAGAATTGAAGGAGGAGCAGGAGACCTAGAGGAGGGTGAGCTGGGTCTCCATCCCAGAGGGAACCTCCAATCCAGGCTCACTCAGGGAAGGGAAATCCATGCCCACAGTCCCGAGTCAGGGGCAGTGGGGTGACCAGCTCACCCCTCTCCTCCATTCCCTCCCAGGCAGCCCAGCGGAAGCTGCGACAGGCCAGCACCAATGTCAAGCACTGGAACGTCCAGATGAACCGACTGATGCACCCCATCGGGCCAGGAGGTAGGAGACCAGCCAACCAGCCTCCCTTGAGCTGGGGCATGAGCCCAGTCCCCCACCCATCATCCCCTCTTTGGGAGCATCTGGGGGACAGAAGGATCCTCATCTTTCAGAGAAGGAATGCCTCTTGCAAGGAGAGACTCCACAACCCTTTTTCTCAGCTGAATGGTCAGTTTGGAGCCCAGGTAAACAACTCTCTTTTTCTGTCCACCCGCAGACAAGCGTACAAACGTGAGCGGAGGAGCCTTCGCTGGCTACCAGCCCCTCCTGTCCCAGAGAGATTCTTCCCTCAAACTCAGGCAGAAAGTGGAGGATAAAAGCAGTGGCCCCATGACAGACAACAGCGAGGAAAACGTGAGCAACGGTGGGAACAGCGGTGTTCTGCCATCTCCAGATGTGGACACCATGGCCACAGAGCCCACCAAGTAGCCCAACAGGATGGCAGAGTCCAGCTGGGAATGGTAGGGCCCAGCTTGTCCCTCTGAGCAGACGGTTGGTGTGGCTGTCTCTGGGTGAAGCCAAGTGCAGACCAGCACAGAGCCTGCAGGGGACTGCATGAGGCAGAGATGCTCCCATTTCCATCAGTAAAGGGCTGCAGCCACCACGTGCCAGGAGGCTCAGGCAGCCCAACTCTGGGTAGAGGGCGGCAGGACCATCTCCTCTGGGCTGCTGGACTCAGCTCCCTGCACTCTGGTTTCTACCTTGCCCTAAAAAAGAGGCACTGGTGGGTCAGGACTGCGTGGCTCAGGGCTGCAGTTTCCCCTTGGTTTCTACCACAACCCTTCTGCATCGCCCGCTGAACCCCGGGCTGTGGGGCCCTGCCAGGGATGCTTGGGCCAACGGAGCGTGACCTTCTCATCGCCCCCCCCAGCATGGCCAGGGTGTCCTTCACTACCACTGTGTTCCCTGATGGTGGTTGTTAGTCCTAGAGTCACTTAGAATTAGCAGAAACCAACAAGCAATAAAGCTTTTGGAGCCGGTGGCCACAGACCTCCTGCCCTGCACACTGGTGGCCCTGCAGGCACCAGCCCTTTCTCCTGAGCATTGTGGGTTTTGGGTTCCCCCTGTAGGAAAGAGCCCTTTGAAAGGAATCAGTCACAACCTGTGGAAAGTGGCCCCACCAGTAGATTTTGGGTTGGTCTGGAGGGCCAAGAGGGATGTAAAATAAAACAAAAGAAAACCAATAACATACACAATCATCAGAGTTAGTTTTCCCAAGCACCTCTGTTTAAATAGTCCCATCACCTGTGCCTTTGGGGTCTTTATTGTCCAGGGCACAGAGCCTCCGAGGGTCCCCCCGGAACAGGTCCTTGGAGGAGCTCTGCACCGACCCTGCTGTTCCTTGTGCGGATGAGCCGCAGTTTGTTGGGGAGATTATGATCTGTTTCCTCCCGGGCGCTCTGGGTGTTCTCTCGCAGGGCGCTGCCCTCCCTCCCACACTGTTTCACAGCTCTTTTCCATCGTGGCGAGCGGCCGCTCCGCGGGGCAGGGACAAAGTGCTCCGTGTGCCCGGGGTGTGGGTGGCCCCGTGCCCAGTCCCACACAGCCGTGCTGACACACGGCAAGGGCAGGGGTGGTTTGGGGGCTGCAGGTCAAACTCAACACCTCTCCCCCCTTCCCAGTGCACTGGGTTGCAGCGAGGTGGTCCTGAGCCCTGTGCATCTGAGGTCCCTGCCTGCCCTGTGCTATCATGGCTGGACCACTTGGACACAGGATCCCTCCACTCAGCACACGTTTTCTGGCAGAGTGGGCCCTTCCCAGCTTGGCCCCGAGGCTGGGCTCTGTCCTCTGCCGAGGCGCTTGGGAACCATGGTGCAGATTGCCGTGGCAGCTCAGTGTGACCCTGGCAAAGCTGCTACATGTGATCCACAGGCAGAGCAGGGGCTGAGGGTGCCAAAGGCATGTCTGTGCTGGGCAGGAAATGGGCTGGATGAAAATGCACTGGTGGGAGGCTGATGGCATCTTCCCTCCCTCGTCAGCTTCCTCAGTCTCATCTCTGATCACGCTTCAGGTGCATGCCACACCACACCTGGGCAGGGAGGCAAAGGGCCACCTCCACCCATCCTCGTGGGCCCATCTGCACGGCCGAGGGCATCACCGAAGCTCTGCAGTGTTCGGTGAGCGACTGCAGAGTTGGAAAGGACCTCTGAGATCATCAAGTCCAACTCTTCATTTTTTTAAAATTTTTTTCTTTTTGGAAATCTAGTCTGGGTTTTTCCCCCATTCTGTACTCTGGAAAAATCCAATCTGGGTTTTTCCCCATTCCGTACTCTGGCCAAAATCCAGTCCGAGTTTTCCTCCATTCCATAATCTAGAAAAATCCAGTCCGGGTTTTTCCTCACTCCGTAGTTTCCGGCCGAAATCCAGTCCGGGTTTTTCCTCACTCCGTAGTTTCCGGCCGAAATCCAGTCCGGGTTTTTCCCCGGCACGAGAGGAAATCTCTCAGAGGGGCTTTCCTCCAGATAACCCTGAATATGCCGGGAGGTTTCAGCCGGGAAAAAGGAGCTGTGGAAGAAAACCACCCTAAAAGTAGCCAGTGGGGATCGTCAGGTTTTCCAGCCAAGAAAAACAAGGACAGAGATGAGGGAATCGGGTTCCAATTAACAACGATTTGAGGGGTGTAGGAATGATTTCTGTATGTTTACATTCCCCACGGTCCCCGGCTCGCGCCGGCGCCGCCCCCTCTCCCCGCGCTGCCTTTCGCGGCCCGCCCTCCGCGCTCGCTCTGGGCACGCGCCGCTCTGTGGCGAAGCAGCGGTCCCGGAGGTCGCAGAGGACGCCGCGGGGAAGCGACCCGCGGGGACACAGCCACGGGGACACAGCCACGGGGGACAGAGCCACGAGACCCCGGACACGCCCCGCCCGCCGGACACGCCCCGCCCTTCCGCACGCCCCTTCCGGCCCGCCCCGCGGGCAGCGCCTACACTTCCCATGAGGCCCCGCGCCCGCCGGGGGGCGCAGTGCCGGCGGTGCCCGGCAGGGGGCTGTGCGGCGCGGGGCGGGGCCGTTGCCGTGGTGACGCGGGCGCGAGGCCCCGGCGGCCGCCGCGATTGGCCGCGCGCGCGGGGTGCGGTGGCGTCAGGGGGCGCGCGGTGACGCGCGGGGCGGGGGGGCGGCGGCGCGAGCGGGGTCGTGCGCGAGGTGAGCGGGGCCGGGGGGCGTGAGGGGCTGGGACGGGGACAGGGCTGAGAGGGGAACGGGGGACGTGAGGGGCAGGGACAGGGCTGAGAGGGGAACGGGGGGCGTGAGGGGCAGGGGCTGGGACAGGGCTGAGAGGGGAACGGGGGGCGTGAGGGACAGGGACAGGGCTGTGAGGTGTGAGGAACAGGGTTTGGGGCAGAGGGGACGTTGGTGCGAGGGGCTGGGGCGCGGGGGATGGCAGTGACTTGAGGGTTCAGGCTGTAGTTCCTGCTTGGGAAATCAGGGCAGACAGAGGATGGGACGTGGCCCACACGGGAGGAGGCTGAGGGGGACAGTGCCCATCTTCTGTGTCAGGGTGAGGTGGCAGAGGGGAATTGGGCTGGGGATTGAGGGTACCAGTGAGGGGCGCTGCTGGAGTCTGGGGCTGGAAGGAGGAGAAGCAAGAGAGTCAGGATGGTCAGTCAGCAGAGCATCTGGTGAGGTGTTGCTCAAGGAAGAAGGATCTGAGAGTTCTTTCCCATCCCTCATATTTCCATGTTCTGCTCCTGCTTTCCCTGAGATCCCAGATAAAGGACATGCTTTTTGGAAAGGAATCTATCTGTTGAGCCCCCACATGTTGGAAAAGCTCCTGTGAACAGACTTGGGTGGGCAGAGAGGCAAGAAAGCTTTGGATGTGCTGTAGGGTCTGGACAACATCCCTCGTGGCAATACAGAGGGGTCTGAGCGGTGGCCACTCCTCAGTTGGAATCCCAGGGCAGGTTGCAGTGTTGGTCTCTAAACCAGTGACCCATGGGTTGAGGCAGCCCATGTCCCATTTCTTGTTTCTGCTCCGCTCTCCTCTCCGCAGCCCTCTCCATGCAAATCCCTTACTGCCTTTGGCAGAGGATCCTCTTCTGCAAAAACGTGCTCCAGGCTGTGCTGAGGTGGGAGTTTTCCTGGTGACTTACCATGTGTCAGCCAGGGACATCAGAGGAAGAGTCCAGCAGGGATGTGCTGGCAGGTTCCCTCCATGCCCTGCTGAGCTGGTGCAAGTGTTGCCTTGTGTGTGGTGTGATTGGGCATGTCCTGGCATTTAACTCTGAGCGGGGCAAGGTGAGCCAGTCATTTAGGTTTAATTCTCAGATCTCTGGCAGCAGCAGCAGCAGAGCACTGGTCTGTGATGGGAGAGAGCTCAGGGTGTGATTTGTGCACTTGTGTGTGATTCAGCCCTTGTTGACAGTGTCAAGGCTATGCTGATGGGCTTTACTGCAGGTGGAGGAAGCCAATTCCCGATGTGCCATTGGGGCTGGAATGACTTTATTGTTCCTCATTAGGAAGGTTAAAGAGAAATTTTGTCAGGATTATTTAGAAAAACTGTCTTCCATGTTGGGAGAGAAAGGATGAGGAACGTGCTCTGGCTGTAATGCACTGCTGCAAAAGTGAAGCTCTCGAGGGCCATTTTATGGCCCCACTGAAGCAGAGGCTCCTGCCCCGCCTCTAAAGGAGAGCAGTTGCTGCCTGCAAGGGGAGCTGTGACTTTGACACCACTGACCACAAGAACGGGCAGTCCTGATGAGAGTGATGCTCCAGTGGGAGGGACTGGGGTCGTATTTCTGGGTCTCACACTTGTGACCTCCCCTGGATGTACCTGATCTGCTTGGTGCTGTAGGGAACACCCGCCACACTCAGGCTGGTGTGCTGAGAGCCTTGGCTTTTGGGGCAGGGGATTTGCATCCTTTTTTCATCCTCTCCTGAGCAGCTGCAGCTCCTGGTGCCATGTCAGAGCCAGAAGGGCAGGCGACACCAAGGGCTCACTCTCAGCCCGGCACTCGCAGGTCGCTGCTGAGCTGCCCAGGGGGCTGGTGACGCTGGTTTGTTGCTGGTTTGTTGCTGGTACTCGGCTGCTTCACAAGTCATCCCATGTTGGGGGCAGAAAGAGGAAACAGGGCTTTTCTATTGGGCTGGGAGGAGCAGCTAAGCCTGGGTAATGTCAGGGAGGGTATGTGGGTGCAAATAGCATCATGTTCACAACATCTTTGTTTAATGTTTTGGTCCAGTTAGTCTGCATAACTGTCTAAAAATAGGACATATTTTCTCTAAGTCCTCTAGTTCAAAGCCTCATAAGCCGTTTTTTTCTAGCATTGGTCTCTTACTGTTTTTCTGATCCTGAAGTTCGTATAAGGCAAAGTTTATCAGGAAAACCAAGAAGAGTGAATGAACTCTGTCAATCCTTAAGTTTCAGCCACCCGAGAGGGAAGTTCATTAAAGTTGCAGGAACTTTCTGGCAGCCTCCTGAAGGTGGATTAAGCAAGCTGAGTAAACAAGCCACCTTACGGCCACCACAGACCCTTTTTTAGCATCAGCTTCATGTATTGTCAGAAAAGCTCAGGGTCATCAGCCTCTAACTGCAGGTGACATAAGGCAAAGGTGGCATCTCGATGCTCAAAGCCTGGTGAGGAGTTGGGGCTGTCTCTGCTGGGACATCCAGGGGTTTGCTCTGCCTCCCAGTC